GGTTGCGAGGTTTGGGGCTTTATGGAAGCTAATGCTATTGAAAAGGTACACTTGAAATTTATGAAACACATATTATATGTCAAAATGTCAACTCCATCAACTTTCTTATATGGAGAATTGGGTACATTCCCTTTAAAAAGTTATTCGTCTTGTCAGGATTATCAAATATTGGCTTAAGATTTTGAGAAGTAAACCAGATAGATATATAGTTTTGATGTATAATTCATTATTGAATAGTTCAAATGAGAACCCTGATGTTGAAAACTGGGCAAGTTTACTGAGAGATACGCTCTTCAGGTTTGGTTTTGGCTATATTTGGGTTGCCCAATATGTTCCTGAAAGTTGTGATTTTGTGAGAGAATTTACGCAAAGGGTTAAGGACATTTATTCTCAAATGTGGAAACATCAATTATCAACTTTAAGTGAAACTAGATTGTATCTTCATATTAAGGAAACTCTGTGCATCGAGAAATATTTAACTAATATTGATGTTAGGAAGTACCGAATTGCGTTTACACGTTTCCGACTTAGTTCACATATGCTTATGATTGAAAAAAAGGAAGATGGAGTGTGCCTAAAATCCCATTTGCCAATAGATTATGTCCCTTTGTACTAACGAAATAGAAGATGAGTACCACGTACTCTTGATTTGTCCAAAATATCGAGAAATACGTAAACAGCATTTAAGTAATACTTTATTGGAAAATATAAGTATGTTTAAGTTTATCAAATTGTTAAAAGGTGAAAACAGTTTTGAAGTACTGAAAGCTGCAAAGTGTATTTATCATATCTTAAATGAAAGAAACAAAGTTGAATTTTTGTAAATCGTCCATACATATCCTCACTCTTGGGCTATAATGATAATAACAATGTGATTGCTCTCTTTATATACGTACATCGCCATGTGCACAGGCAAATATTCAATATATATATATTGTATTGGTCTTTGACCTAATAAAAATCTTGTCTTGTCTTGTCTTGATGTCAATACATGTATATTTCCTTACTCCACTAGCCCGTTAAACCTCAAATATATGGGGAGATGGTCTATGGTATTGTCGTGATACTTTTGATCAAAGAAATAACTAATTGGACATATTCAACTGAAGTTAGATATTTTCACTTTGGCAGAATAATTGTGTGGCTTAATAGTTTTTACAATAGCAGCTCACCTGCACAGAAACATTCCAGCATATACTATAACGAGTACCCGCCATGGCAGCAATATGGCGGAAGGTTGATATTGTCCTTCCTCCAAGAGGCAAACGACAGCATATATTTCTGATTTGTAGTCAATACTGTAGTCCAAACGTTATTTTCACAACAGTGTACAGTAATTACTGATAAAAAAGACAAAGGACCATTGATACACGATGGTCGCTACTGTTAAATCCAGGCTAGTATCCTACCTCCATTACACCCGAGGACATTTCCGGGTACTCCACTCCTCACTATGAACTATACACAACTACACAGGGTAGATCCAAGACATTAGGGTATGATCCATAATACGTGGAATAATCTTGACTTGGTCACTGCTGGTCTAACACACTGACCAGGAACACAAATACACAAAACAGGATGTGTTGACGACGCAACATATGGGTCAGAGTTCCATTTGACAGGATTTGAATATACCAAGGGACACAACTCTGTCTGTGAGTTTAAATATTTGATTTCTATATGATTTCAGTTTCAAACCTTTTGTGACAAGCACATAGTAATGAAAATGACATAATATGATTATTCCGATGAATGCAAAATGAAAAGAATTTTAAAAGATTTATGTTCTGAAAATATTTATAAAAAAATGCATAATCATGAAGCGTTAATCATGTATTTGAAACAGCATTATATATATGTGTGTGTGTGTGTTTGTCTGTATTTGTGCTCTCTTTCTCTCTCTCTCTCTCAGTACATACGCAAGTAAAGATGATTTGTTCGTACTCATTTTCTAAAACAAACACACACAAATACATACGCACAAACACGCGCGCTCACACACTCACCGTGTAACAGTAAATACTTGACCTGTCTTTGCATGTGTTTGTGATGGATGCGATTAACTGGCTGAGTTATGTTTGCCTTCCCACAACTCCAGACTACCCCAATTTGACTGTGAATCATAAAGAAATGCATAATGATATATGTCCTTCATAACTCCAATTTCGAGAATATATTTTATTGTTATGAAAATGTTTTCATCACGTTTATTAGACATATTTCAGCACAAAACATAACGGCACACCAATATATCAAAAGGACTTATTTACCAGTGTTTGAACTTAAACATGTATTGGTGGTGGGGATTTAGATAAGAACAGCCCTAACATGTGGTAGAAGATCACTTGAAACCTTTATTTTCAGAATCGATATAACCCTATGTTGTTTCAGTAATGCCTTCCCTTATAATCAGTCATATTAATTATTATATCTTTTGCATGAGTTGCATTATCTGTTGCGTCGTTTATGATTTATCTTGTCAACCACGGCAAAACGTTTTCAGTACAACAATGGCATCAGCTTCGTCTAACCACCGAGCCGTGCAGTGTACTCAAGACAGCCTCTTGGATGATCGGAATTCCAGACATATTCCACCCAGACCCATGGCTGCCCTTCCCAACAACACGAGCAGCCCTTGTCCAGCCAGGGAAGGGGGAGACCGGTGTGACTGCCCCTGCTGGAAGAAGGGTCACACAGATGACTCTCGTGGATCAAGGTGCGTGTCTAGCTAAACACATATTCCCTGATTACAATGCTGTATGACGCCGAATAAGAATAGCTGTAAAAGGTAACTTAGACTAACGCTTAGTCCCTGAATATATGTAATTTTGATGGTAACAAATAAACCCATTTAAATTGAAAATGAGTCCCAGTGAGTTGGGAGATTCCTGAACCTGAGGAAATCTAGACTTGCTTCATTGAGGGCTTTAGCATTGCAGGGAAGGCAAGGTAGTAGTGAGAGTAATGTGGTTCAGGGTCTGTGAGACAGATTTAAAGGTAACTCAAACGTTGTGAGGAATTATCAAGTCTCTTTATGACAATTAAGGTTGTGAATGAAGGTTGGTTGGGCTGAGAAGAGTGTGAGAGTGGAATGGGTAAACCGTGGGATTATGTATATATGCTCCACAGTTCGTACGAGAGACTACAACCCATGAGGTGCTAGGTAGTAGTGGTGCTCTCAATAAGCAGAACAATTCAATATTTGCTAAAGCCAAATCTTTCTAGGTCTTGGAATCCAAGCTTTGGAGTATCGGGCATTTGGTTTGCATGATTTGTTGATACTCGTAAACAGATACAACCAATTGGGTTTGTAAGTAAATAACATAACAGTCTGGATCATTGCGATCGACGGGTAGTGGAGGAAATTGAGCGATTGTAAAAGTTAAAAGTGTTTTATTTACAGACAGATAACAGGGGAGCGGCATCCCACCCAGTGCTCCCAGGAGAGTACAGTGGACGCCTACAGCAGGGTGTCCCTAGAACCCACGACCTGAGAGGCTGGAGTGGACGAGAGTTGGTGGGGTGTGCAAGTAGACGGACAGTGGTCGACTCAGAGAGGAGAGCTTTTATTTTCCTGTGCATCTTGATAGTCCAAGGGTCGTACAGTGGAGTTCGCCAAGGTCCATTGATCTTGCACCCCAACTTCTCATCACTGTGCAGCAAATTGCCGCTTGGTTTCAGATCTTTGACTTTGCTTTCGTTAGGCTATAGGCTGATAATGTTTTGTCTGTAGTGTTACTTCTGTAGCTATTGGATGCTATGTTTTTATCATACGTTGATTGTTACCTCTAACGTGTAGCGATGATATCTTGTGGCATGGAGATATTTACCATGTAGTCATAGTCATATTTGCCACCCTACTAATTGTACATATCTGGTTGCATATTTTCCATATGACCAGAGTGGCTTGAATTCAGACCGTTATTTTCATAACTATATCTCCAATGGTTTGGTTAGGTAGTTAAGCAGCTATTTGCGTTTTCTGTCCAAACATTTGTGTTTTCAACTTTGTCCACCACTATTCAATATGCCAGACTTAAATTGTCATTCCTTGATCCATGTGGGCCTTTTCTTTATAAACATGGTGGGCATAGGTATACATACATAACAATCTTCAGAGGTTCAGGGCCTCCTTTCACAAAGCACTAAGGTGATCGTAAGTCACTAAGGTAACCTTAGTGCAATGTTAAAGAATGGGAGTTAAGGTTAACCTTAGTAAAGGTTGCTTCGTGAAAGGAGCCCCAGGATAGGTTATCAAAACTGAAAGTAAATGCCATCTGAAGTTTACTGAACATAGTAACTATGTGTGGTATGTTCCTCTTTTATGCATATCAATCAGAATTCCAGCTTAGGTTGGCAAAAACAAGACGTTTAACAATAGCTTCAGTTATATCGGTAATCAAACTGCGAGTGCCCTTCTTCTGATTTACTCACCGAACTTTGAATAAAGGAGACAAGTGTTACCGCTTTATGTGTTTCGTGTTTAGATCTGTACGCAAGACAAGAGGCCATGATTTCAACTTTCCTATTGTCAGTTTTACCTCTATGACGAGTAATATTCCAACAGGTCAAACTTTTGGTGTTTACATTTCACAACATTGTAGGTACAATCGCGCATACCCTCTTTACCAAATTTGTCTTGTACCGTAATAATTCCCGATTTTGTTCAGGTGAGGTAATGACTATCTTTTCTAAGGGGAACAGGATATGCTCATCTCTTCCCGAACACCCGGTATCTTCACTATTAGCGGTTCATGAACACATGCTCATGATATAAACGACATCGTACTTTCCACTCAACTCTTGGCAGAGATTGCTTGATGATGTGGACAGGGTTTTGTCCTCCATTTTCTACTTTAGAAATGAAACACAGTTCTGTTCAATGACGGTCGATTGGACAACTTTCATTTCAATTCGGCGCTTCTCGCCTAAGTTGCCAATGTCCTCCAAGTGTAGCCGACTACTATGTCGTCATAGTTCAGAGGCAAGGAATGAAAAACGTTTCAGAAAAATATTTATTACAACACACTGGAGGTCACTTTTAATGTCTCTGAATAAACATTTATTTGCAGTTGACTCAGTATAGATATATGACCACATGAGGCTGGGTGTATTTCGCCTTCAGCAATATTCCAGTGATATCCAATCACTAATTGACTGGGGGCATTGATAGAAATGCCGTTGATGCTGATGTTGATGTTGTTGGGCATGTGAATGCTATAGGAAATACAGTGGATATCAATGATGATATCGTTGAATATATAGTTCATGATAATGATGACGATGATGATGATGGTGGTGGTGGTGATGTCTGTCCTAACATTAATGATGCAGAGAATTCCGTTAAGATACTCCCGTTAAATATATGTGGCCTTAGGAGGTGTTTACAATATAAGGAACTAGTTGATATGATGAGCATAATGACATCGTTGGATTTCAATAACCTAAAACTGACTTCTTAGAAAATATTGAAATACCTAGATATAAATTATTCTTGCAAAATAGAAAAAGTTTAAGAAAATCTGGCGGTATTGGTAGAGCCTTTAAACACAAACTAGAAATGCATATCACATTCGTGACTGAAGAATTATGTGACTACATATTATGGATTAAAATAGACAAAACACTATTTTTGTCAATGAAGACAATTTCCATGGTATTGTGTAAATACCGCCTGAAAATTCTAAATATTTTACCAGTGAGACATTCACTAACACTGAACAATCTTTACTATATTATACAATGTCATCTATCAGCGAGCATATCATCTTAATGGGAGACTTCAATGGAAGCACAAAATTACTAATTAAATTACATTATATTTAATGAGCAATTGTTAATAGATCTAGACATGACTGACTGACTGATTGAGTTGGGTTTTACGCCGCTTTTAGCAATATTCCAGCAACATCACGGCGGGGGACACCAGAAATGGGCTTCACACATTGTGCCCATGTGGGGATTCGAACCCGGGTCTTCGGCGTGACGAGCCAACGCTTTAACCATTAGGCTACCCCACCACCCCGTCTAGACATGAATGCAAGTGATATTGATAGTGACTATGAACCTACTAATATTTTAGAAAACCTTAATCTGCCTAGGGACAGGGCGAATGAAGACACAAAAAGAATGAATAATTCAGGAAGCAAACTTATAGAAATATGTAAAAACATGAGTCTATTTATATCTAATGGTAGAATTGGACATGGCAGAGGTATTGGTAGAAGAACCTGTAAAGATGCTAGTGTGGTAGACTATGTTTTATGGTCATCCTCATGCTTACCTCTCACCACTGATCTAAATATCTTTGACTTCTCACCGATGTATTCAGATGTGCACTGCCCAGCAACATTTAGCTTAGCTAAATAAATCCACAGAAATCCGAGACAGGCACCCAAAGCACCGCTAAAACAACTCAAAGCTCAAGCTCTAAACCAAAGCGACATAATAAACATAAAACCGATGAATTCCTCCAAAATTTAGATATAACTCAGATAAATAATCTCACAGTGAAAACACACGTAGGTTCAAGCTGACCCAGTAACAGTCAATGACATCACTAACGAGGTCGCGCACGTGCCCGGACGCTGCACGGAAATACTTACATAGAGAATTTACGAAGAAGGACCGAAAATGTAAACCTTGCTTCGGAGGAGAATGTTATAAAGCTCGTAAGGTATTTTATAAAGCAAAACGACGTTTACGAAAACACTGGATAGACATATAAAGCGGTGTAAAGACGAAGTCGGTTAAATGTTTAGGGAGACCCAATAAGCACTCTCCTAGTGACAAGTATTAAGGATCTCGGTGCCACTAAAGCCATGTTCTTGATACTTGCCGTTGGCCTGTTTGTTGTTTGCCTTTGATTCAATGATAGTACCTATCCTAATGTATGGCTCAGAAATTTGGTGTATTGAAAATGTGGAATGTCTGGAAAAAATCCATTTAAAATTTCTACGACTTATTACAGGACTAAGGAATTCCACACCTCGATTTATGCTTCATGGGGAGCTCGGTAGATTCCCAATCACGTTAACTATCTATAAACGCCATATTACCTTTTGGCATAAACTAACCAACCATAATAGAATCAATAAACTTTCACAACTTATTTATAATTACTTGATAGTGGATAATGAAAGCGAAAAACTACTACAAAAACCATGGCTGGTGAAAGTTAAGGATAACTTAGATGGTACTGGATTATCGTATGTGGTCAAAACCCCGTCCTCCTGTACAACTCAGTGGCTAGCTCTACAGGCAGAACACATACTTAAAGACCAATTTATTCAAAAGTGGAGAAATGATGTTGTTGCTTCAAGCTCAAAAGCATTTTATTATCAATACCTTAAATAGTATCCACTATTTGACACATACGTATCTTTCCCAAAGCGAATATCAATTCGATTATAAAGATTTATTACATCTAATCACAATATACCAATAGAAACTGGCCGCTGGGAGAACATACCACGCTGTGATAGAACTTGTAAACTGTCAAACTGCATATATTGCTGATTAATTTCGTTATATTTTTGAATGTCAAAATCTTTGTGACGCTAGAAAATGTACTTATCATCCCCCAAAACAAAATATCCAAGTCTGCAAAGTTTTGTTAAATTATTTACAACTAATGACACTAAAGAAATTATCAGTTTATCAAAATTTGTATGAAAAGTATCAGCCCTTATAAGAAACATAAACTGAGACTATCTACGGCCATCTTGTATTATATTTTTGTATTTATATATACTATATATTATAACTATTTTTTTCATTTGATTTTGTATAAAAAATATTTGTATTCTCTCTTGTACTACCAACCGTGGTTATTTGAGAATAAATGATTGATAGATTGATTGATTGATGTTCTGTATCCTCTACATTGCATGGAATTGTGAGAAGTGAAGAATTATCATAAGAAGGTGCTGTAAAATCACCCATGTTCTTTCTCAAGTGACTTCTCAAAAAAGAATTGAACACTATGTCTTGTCACGTTTTATTACCAAACCATATCACATTTCTATCACTTACTATGGTATGCCACCTAATTTGCCCAACAGAGATGATATGCATATACTGTTGGCAACAGTTCCCGGAATCAAAGTGCATCATAAGATGAAAGCAGGAAAAGTGACATTTCAGTCAGTTCCTCTTCCGCAGACAGTAGGTCTGTAGACAAACCTTGGCATCATATTCTGTGAAGTCCTGTGGCATCGCGTCTTTGTCAGCGTCACCACCGTGGGCCTCGCTGAAGTCGTACACGTACTCGTCCAGATACTCCACGTCACAAATGTCGCCTGTGATAAAACAACGAGCAGGCTGCCTGATAAACACCATTGACACAGACGAATCTGGCATTCACACTGTGATACAAGCACCCTGATGTAATACTCACTGAAACACTGATGTTGTGATACAATATATGGAGTCACACATATGCAGTTTAATTGGTAATAACGATGATGAAGGCAGTGTAACACATACTCATATTCCTAATAAAGAAATGATTTCAGCCAGCATGTGTACAGCTTAGGACTGGATAAAATGACTCGAATATGTTGACCTTCTGGGGCAAAGTTACGTCTCCGATATCCATCGATAATCGGTCGATATTTAGTAAACGATCGATTATATATCTCTATGATCTATATGGATAGCCAACCCTAGAACGGACATATCACAAACAGTGATGTCAGGTCTTTTATAGAATGCCACCTTGTCAATACCCACAAGCACTGAGAAGATGCACAGAAAGAGTCATGGCAACCTCGGATTCGAACCCATGATCAAATGATTCGGTCACGCTTAAGAAACGCAACTCTACTTTGCGAATTACAAGCCCTTAGACGAATGGATCCGGTGTTACTATTGCAACACAATCGTATGGAAAGGGATTTACCGTATAATTCCTTCAACTGTCCTTCACTGAAGTGATAGGGAGCCCCTGCAATGAAGGACACATATGTCTGTAAGACAATTAGCTACATTCAGAACACAGTCAGTTGTTTTCTTTGTGAAACTTTCAAAATATATATGTTGCTTTATCTATAATTCTTCGATCTAGAATGTACCTTGGGTGTTCTGAAACTGGCTGTGTAATATGCCCGAAACAAGAAGTGGCATGATAACAATCGTTTCAAAGCAATACGATAAGTATAAGAGAGCTTTTACTTTGTAAAATGCTGCGATATTCTGCCCTCATGGTTCTTAAGTGTATATGGTCAGTGACTGGTCAAGAGGATAAGGATTTCAACAGCCCATGGAATTGAAACCAGTTACAGACACGGTCTTTTTACCTGAACCTCCTTTCTTGGGAAACTCCAGCATTGTGATACACTTGGGCCCCATAACCCCTCATAGCTTTAATGTACCTGGAATACAAGCCATCACAAAGATGAATCTGTATCTACCTTCATACTGTTAGTAACTTGTGATAACTTGGGCCCCATGACTCCCCTGACAGCTTTCATGTACCTAGATTGTAAGTCACCACAAAGGTGAATTTGTATCTGTCTACATACTGCATGCACGCTCAGACGCTAAGTACAACTGTAAACTGTTTCATTGCTTTGGAAAGACTACATTTATAAACTAGTTTGGGATAGAAATCCCCTACTGATTGGTTCAACCTACTCGTCTCTGTCCCTTTCATCTACAGCACACATCGAGATTCCTGGAACACAATATAGCCATCTTAGTGTGCTGTTGTAGGTGGAGATTCTGAGGGAGATGCAGTAAAACAATCTCAGCGTGCTACTGTGGTAACTGTAAGATTCACAACAAAACCCTGCGTATGCTGTCATTGTCAAACTTCAAACACAATGTAACAATCCGGGCGTTTTGTTGCAGGTGGCGTTTCTGAGGGAAATGTACTAAAACACTTTCAGTGTGCTTCATTACTGGTGAAATGACAGAAAGAACCACATATAGTCACATGCAGTTTTCAGTTCTAAACCCTGAGATAAATCACAAAACGTAGTGTCCGAACATACTTACTCATTAAAACGAAAGAAGTTCCCCACGTAGAACTTGAAGTTACCACTTGCATTCTGTGGGGAAATGGAACAAGATGGATACCAACTGACTTCATAGCATATATCATTTCTGTCTCCGTGTTTGATAACTATTTGGATCTAGATTACCTTATACAAGCAAACCTTGCAAATATGCTCGCATTGGGTCATGTTGACCTTATATTCCAGCAAGCCTTGCAAGTATGCTGCATTAGGTCATGTTGACCTAAATACAAGCAAGCCTTGCAAATATGCTCGCATTGGGTCATGTTGACCTTATATACAAGCAAGCTTTGCAAGTATGCTGCATTAGGTCATGTTGACCTAAATACAAGCAAGCCTTGCAAATATGCTCGCATTGGGTCATGTTGACCTTATATACAAGCAAGCCTTGCAAATATGTTCGCATTGGGTCATGTTGACCTCATATACAAGCAAGCCTTGCAAGTATGCTGCATTAGGTCATGTTGAACTAAATACAAGCAAGCCTTGCAAATATGTACAAGCAATGCGGAGCAAGCACGTGCAGGTTTCGTCGTGTACGCCCTAACTATACGCAAATAAGGCAAATACCTTGTACAGTTTTCCGTTCATACTGGGGACGTCTTCAATGATAGGTTTCTGCTTGTACTGCTTGAAGATCCGCTGTGCGGCGCTCTCGGCCAGATCAGCGCCAACCACAGTGTGTCCTCGCTCACAGAACCTACACACAAAATGGAAATTGTCAGCAAAATCCGAGAGTATCCGGTGAGCTCGCCGGTTCGAATTCAAGATCGTACCTCAAGAGGGATACGTGCCAGGTGACAATTTTTGTTTTTGTTTGTTTTACGCCGCACTGAGGACTATTGCAGCTATGTGGCGGCGGTCTAAAAATAACAGAGTCTGAACCAGACAATCCAGTGATCAACAGCATGAGCATCGATCTACGCAAGTGGGATACGATGACATGTGTCAACCAAGTCAGCGAGCCTAATACCACCGTTATACCGAGCTTGCGACCCCACTGCGACCGATGTTTGTCTCTCGGTCGCATTCACTCGTGCACACTCGCACTGAGATCGTCGTTTGCGACCGATGGGTCACTCGCTTTTTCGGTCTCAGTTTGCTCACATCGGTCGCAGTGGGGTCCTGGTGCGGTCGCATGTCGGTTGCATGCACACGCAACTTGATCGCGCTCACTCGCCCAAAGTGACTCTTTTCTTTAAAATTGTTTCATGGGAGTGTTGTACACATGTAATTTTTTGTTTTCTTTTGAATATGGAAATTATTTCTTGATTAAATTATTATAAGCTTCAACACATCTTTGTCTTCTTTTTCATGACAGATGGGTTGTTTATTTGGTATAATACGGCTTAAATCATTTACAAGTGGAATATTTAACAAAAAAGCAACATGTCTGCATGTGAGCTTAATTGGGAATAATATAACACCACTTTCAGAGTATGTCCTAACTCCTTTATCAGGTGAAGGAGGGGCAATATTAAGACAATCACCTGATGAAGGAGTAAGGCAATACTCCGAAAGGTGGTGTTATTCCCCATAAAGAAGTTCACTCAGAAATCATGCCTTCCTTTTCTTCTCACTCATATGAAATCCTTGAATTAAGAGATCATGCTTGCTGTCATAAAGAGACTTGGCTCTTGAGTATAACTAGAAGTGAAAGATGTCACCCTGTGCTTGCTTATCATGCATACACCCGGCACATTGTGAAACCCAACTCGCTCAGAAAACGACAGACAATAAGAGAGAATTAAATATTTAATGATATAATCATTAACGAGGACAGATTGATAAGTTTTAATACACAATACTGTATAATATACAAAGGCATGTTTGTTTAGATTTCATATCACTCCACATTCTGGAATGTTCTCACATGACATCAAATCACATCACATCAAGGAATGTTATTATATATCTTGGTCCTCCCGTCGAGGTGGGCGTGTGAGGGTCACCATTCTGTCCTGCCAAGCAACTGCTCCTCTCATTAGGTCGTTGAAGCAGTCTTTTTTGGTACAGCCACTGAGTATTGGCAGCTGTATGGTCCTTGTTTGTGGTTTCAGGAGGACCGTTGTCTTCGTTGAGAGTGATGCCTCGTCTCCAGGAACCTAACACGATTCCATGATTGTCGTCATCATGGTCAACCTCGACGTCTTGGATGCCTGGGTGTCTCAAGCTCAAGAGGTTGTGAAGTACTATACAGCACTCTGTCATGGTCTGGACAATTTCAGGGGTTTGATGCAGCGCAGTCATGAGACACCTCCATCTGTTAGCCATAATGCCGATGGCAGTCTCTACCAGTCTTCCCCTTGACATACGGTAGTTCTACATCTGTTCTTCTTTGCTCAAATTTCTCTTGGACCAGGGATTCATGAGAATGGTCTCATGGCAAAATCATCATCGGGCAATATGAAGTAGGGCAGGTTCCTAGATTGATCATCTGATTTAGGGTCAGCTGGTTCATTAGGTTCAGCTGGGGGAATGCCAAGTGCACCACTCTCCAAGCGTTCCTTGAAACTTGATGCATTGAAGATTTGGGCATCTGATTGGTGTCCAAGACCTCCAGTACTCACCCACAGGAACTTGTAGTCGTGGCCCACCAGTGCCAGCAGAACGATGGAGTAGCAGCTTTGTAGACACACCAGCAGTCACTTCCACTGTTTGGAGGTGCACGGATTTCGATGTGTTTACCATCCGGAGCAGCTATGGCATGAGGTACTTGCTATCTTTCTTCAAACTGTTGGGTTCTTCTTCTTCCACTCTTCCTCTGTTGTAGGTGTCTTGAATACCTCGTCTCTGTATGCTTCTGTGATAGCTCTGCAAACTAAGGGTACCATGCGCTGAACTGATGTCCTGCTGACCCTGTAGCTGTATGCCATGCTTGCATACTGGTCACCGGTTGCTAGGTGTCTTAATGTCAGTGCGAGTTTCAACCCTGCTTCCAAATGGGTCTGTAATTGGTGCCTTCTCCTGTTATCATGGGCCCTACTCTTTCTAGAATTTCGTCAAAGAGTTCGACTGGCATCCTCATGTAGTTCTTGAACTGAGTTGGATTCTCTTCCTTCAACTTCTGGACAAGGTGGTAGTACTGGCAGTGGTCTTGTGTCTCCGAAGGGGTAAGTCACTCTCGTACCCAAACTTCACGCTGTCGACGCCTTCTTCTCCTTCGCTGAATGTGTCTAACCATGGCCAAAGTGCAATTACCAATATCCTGTATTTGTTGGTGGGTTTCCGACAGCAAGGCAAAGACCAGGGTCATTTCAGTGTCCATCTTCTCTAGGTGTTTTCAGTCTGCTGTTCAGGCTCAGAATGACACGATCTCAGACGGTCGCGGACGTTTTTAAACTTTGGTGACCGATCGCGAATAAGTCTTGGTGAGGTTGTATAGGTCTCGATGCGATCTTACAAAGAGTCGCCATGGTCGTACAGAACTCACATAGACTCGCATTGGTCGTGATACGGTCGCACTCGATCGCACGAACAGTCGCACTGGTCAGGTCGGTCGCAGATTGGTCGCAAGTCAGTCGCAGAAACTATCACGTTGGTCTCAACCTAGTCGTGGCTGCTCGCAGGGAAAATCGCCAATACTGTCGTACCACAGTATGACCCTATTGTGACGACTATACGACCGATCGTATCGCTCTCAATTTGGTCTTGCTCGCCCAAAAAATGACCTGTGAACACTTTTTGGTCGTAGTGGGATCGCACAGCTGGCTTGGTGTGACCGGAAAGTCAAACTGTGTCAAAATCGGCCGCAAAAATTCAGCAACCGGGTGCGATCGAACTGGTCGCAGTGATCGCGCTCGGTTATCTACCGGTCGCGGCTTGGTGGAACAGGGGCCTAACCAGCAGTATAATCTCAAGTACTGTCGGAAGTGCTAGAAAAATGCTTTTTGACTTATATTTAAAATACAAAGGTATTACAGTTACTTAAATAACAAATATCACTTCAAGAAACATCTACCTAATGTAGACCGAGGGAATACATTTTGAGACATGCTCTAAAAAGTGTTTTACTGACGCAAATACCAAAAACTTAGGGGTAGTGGGACGTTATTTGATACAAACATTAATTGCCTGTTTTACTTCATCAGCATCCAAGGTATCGACAGGTGAAATTGACACCTGAGCACACGCTCGGGCGAGGGGTCATCTCAATAGATGTTTTCTGCAAAATGTTGAATATGTGTACGTATAGTATACGCATTGGTTATGTAAGGGATCATTTGTGTATGTGTGTTTGTTTTGAAATAAACATTCGAATTCCTGTACATTGGAAAGAATCCTTTCACTTGTGTTTTCTTATCGATTGATTGTAGAAATGTGCAACGTTTCAATAAATGTTTTGCATGTCAACAGTATATTTCATTGAAAAAATATGGATGTAATTCGGTCAGTTTAATCTAGTTGTGAACATTGGCCAAAGATTTAACGAAGTCACTGGTGTAGCTTCTTTAGAATATATATATTCTTCTTCTCATAAAGTTTGTAGACCGCCCGTCTAAGTACTCCTTTGTCAAAGTTGTCAAGGATGGTCTTACGTCCCGGTTTTGCTTTTGAGACGGTCCCTGTCTTGTCTGATTTGTTTACAATATTGTAAACATGCTGGTAAGACATACCAACAGCTCTACAAGTTCTGTAATAAACCCTTTCTAAACTAATGAAAGGTTTACCTCTGTCTTTTTCAAGCAGAAAAAAAAATTAAATACCTTTGCAACAATCGACTGCAAATCGTTGGCCATATTGGACACTGTAATAAAGATGTGCATGCATGACGGGAAACTTATTTCTCAAGACTTAACATTTATATTAATATTTCTTCAATAAAGAAACGATATTTAAGTAAAGTAACACACAAAGATTCAACATTTATTTGTTTAGGATAAACGCTAATTTATATTTTTACAGCACCTGTATTATTAGCATAAATTTAAAGACTATTTCAGATTTCAATATTTTCTTAGTGATCCATAAAATTCTGCATGGGATTCAGTCGGAATTGCACGTCCACAGATGTGTGACATAAACACTCACCAGATGAGGTCGAAGGTCGTCGCACAGAGTGGGACCAGCACTTTCATTCCTTTCCGTCCGTCAGTAACTTTCTCAAAATATTTCGCCAGATTTCTGAAAGGACATTATCAGGAAAATGTATGTTTTAGTGTCAATTTTCACGACTCCAGTCGGTTGGAACCACCCTACGTTTACCTACTGGCCGAGCTCCCTGTAGGTGAAGTCCAAGTGCCGACCTACTCAACCCCATCTATACCCACTGGCCGGGCTCCGGGTAGGTGAAGTCCCTGTGTCCGACCTACTCCACCCTATGTATACCTACTGGCCGGGTTCCGTGAAGGTGAAGCCCCAGTGCCCGGCCTACTCCAACCAATGTATACCTACTGGCCGGGCTCCCAGTAGGTGAAGTCCCAATGCCCGACCTACTCAACCCTATGTATACCTACTGGCCAGGCTCTGTTTAGTGAAGTCCCAGTGCCCGACCTACTCTACCCTATGTATACCTACTGGCCAGGCTCCGTGTAGGTGAAGTCCCAGTGCCCGACCTACTCAACCCCATGTATACCTACTGGCCAGGCTCCGTGTAGGTGAAGTCCCAGTGCCCGACCTACTCAACCCTATGTATACCTACTGGCCAGGCTCTGTTTAGTGAAGTCCCAGTGCCCGACCTACTCTACCCTATCTATACCTACTGGCCAGGCTCTGTTTAGTGAAGTCCCAGTGCCCGACCTACTCAACCCTATGTATACCTACTGGCCAGGCTCCGTGTAGGTGAAGTCCCAGTGCCCGACCTACTCAGCCCTATGTATACCTACTGGCCAGGCTCTGTTTAGTGAAGTCCCAGTGCCCGGCCTATACCCTATGTATACCTACTGGCCGGGTTCCGTGAAGGTGAAGTCCCAGTGCCCCTGGTCCCAGCCTTTCAGCCAATCATTGATCCTACCATCGGGAGTATCAGGAACACGATCCTCTTGTGACATCGTTCAGATTTATTGCTGAAATAAAACTCAATAGTTACATGGGTATGTTTCTCGTGGTATAAACCTGGACTATAGTTTGTATTGATTTTGGCTGAGGTATAGAGAGGATTTACAGAGATATGACAGTCATGTTATAAACAAGTCAAATCCAAGGATCCCGTGAGCAGAAATACCGAAAATATCGCAATATTTAGTTCTAGGGCCCTTTTGGCAATGAAATCACAGCCATTCCCGTCATTCTCGACTTCGCATATGAAGCTGTACTCTCATTTGCATGTGCACGCAGAATCTCTTGTTATAGAATACAAGGGTGTGTCCACTGACGCGTAATGTCAACAGAATATAGAGGCGACCTGTGGGCTCTGCAGCAGTCTATAGGCGAGGTCGGTACAGACATCGACGACAGTGAACAGGCTGAGGTCGTAAACGGATATTCCAGACTGGCGAGTTGTGGTTCGGTGCACTGATTCTGTGTGAGGTAGGGTACACTATGTGCCGTAGGAGCATAGTGTGATTAGCTATTAGTGCGATCTTACTTTGCTAAAGGTCTGAAGTCAATACAGCGCTAGATTAACTTACCTTCACAGCTAGAGCACACCTAGCCTTGGTCCATGCACAACGCCTGTTTCAACTACCCGTTCAGTGTTGACTGAGAGGGGTCATATCAAAAGATGTTGGGTGAAATAGTTGGTGTGTGACATGAATTTGCTATATGTAAATGTTTAAACAGATTGAGTGACTCAGCGATTCATCCGGTTCAAGATGTTCTGCGCCATAATTTCAGGTGAGGGTTTATATTGTTCAGACGTCATAATTCGAGTCAGATGTGCGTAGTTAAAAAGGTTCTGGTGCCTTATTTCGGTTCAGGGGTTGTGTGGTCCAAATAAACTGGCGCCATAATTTCGGAGCAGAGGTTGCGTGCTTCAAATGTTTGGGCGCCATAATTTCGGCCCAGAGGTTTTGATAAGGTCCCTATGGTTACCTCCCTTACATTGATCAACACTCGTCTCGGTGTCGTATATTACGAAATTAGTTCAATTGTCAGTGACGACTTCGATCGTTAAAACCTTAGGGTAGTTGGATAAGCGTGCACTGATCAATTAGTGGACTGTACGCTTACTGTACAAGCAACCTACCTAGTGTACTGTATGTGTGGAGTGAAGCTCCGCGAGGAAGGAGGAAATCTTCAGGTATTTTGACCGGGGTCGTGTCTCGCTTGATCAGAGCAGCGTGACCCAGGAGGCATCCACGACATATATGGGTCAAGGCATCTAGGACACTCTGCAGTTAAGGTATAGGAGGACTTGGAGTGAGCGTGTGTTTACGGGGTTTTTAGATTTTATTCCAAAATATAGGCATGATTTTAATACGCTGACTATTATCTTGCTTATGTACAAACGGTGAGTCAAATTCAAACAATTTTGACTTTGACTTTATTTTATGTGTGTAGTGAGTGACACCTAGATACTAGATATCACGTCTTTTTAATCTAGCTGAATTAATTTTATTAACATGACGGAATTGATGGTTTTGAAGAAGAAACAGTGAGTGAGTATGGTTTTACGACGCTTTTAGCAATATTCCAGCAATATCACGGACACAAGAAATGGGCTTGACTCTCGTTGTACCCATGTGGGTAATCGAACCCGGGTCTTCGGCGTGACGAGCGAACCACAGGGGCTTGTAACGCTAAAAACTGCCATCAAGGTATGTACTGTCACTGACGGGGTCTTAGTACTATATAAAAGGATCCTTTTCTCCACCACCGGGAAAAAGAAATAGACAGTGAGTGTTATCTGAAATTTAAACACAGTCATGCATGTTGCCTTGTAAAATATTGGAATGAACGTAGATTCACAGAAGTTTTAATGGTTCTAACTTCAACGACTGTGGTCGATGTCGGCAGAGGTACTACAAGAATGTCAACCAGGTGCCGAAGACCCAGGCTCCATGCCCCACATGTCTACAATGTGTGAAGCCTATTCCTGGTGTCCCCCGCCGCAATATTGCGGGAACACTGTTAAAAATGTCGTTAAACCATACTCACTCATTATTTCTTTTTCAAAACCATCAATTTCATCATGTAAATGATAAACTCAGCTGGATTAAATAAATATACATGGTATCTACATATTATGTATACATGGTATCTACATATTATGTATACATGGTATCTACATATTATGTATACATGGTATCTACATATTATCTATACATGGTATCTACATATTATCTATACATGGTATCTACATATTTACATGGTGAGCTATAACCATGGCTGAAGCAGAGCCACAACCTTTCCACGTGGTCCCCGTTCCCCGATGACTCGGATGAACGTCTCAAACAGGTTGTCGATTTCTGGAACGAAGGCGAGATGGATTACCCAGCTGAACTTAACCCGTGAGAAATAATCGATAGATTCATCCTACCCGTGAAGATCCGGGTTAGAATTGGCCTTCAGCAACCCATGCTTGTTGTAAGAGGCGACGAATGAGATCGGGTGGTCAGGCTCGCTGACTTGGTATACACATGTCATCGTATCCCAGTTGCGTTGATCTATGCTCATGCTAATGATCACTGGATTGTCTGGTCCAGACTCGATTATTTTAAGACCGCTGTCATATAGTTCTAGTGCGGAGTAAATAACACACAAACAAAAACTCTTATCCATTTATTCAATCCAACATTTCAAGCGTTTTTTAGGATTCTGTAGAATTATTAAATGCATTTATTAGCGTGTTTCTAAGTGATAAATTTCTGTGCAACTTTTGAAGCTACTAAAGAATATTATAAAACATTTTTGCAGGTCTTTAGAAAAGCACTTTGAGCAGCTGACAGGCTCCAGGACCAATCTGAAAGTACTCGTGACCCTATGTGGAAAAGCTGAGGATTTGAGATGGTGAATATTGTGTATTTCTGTTACATTCTCTCCGTCCTACCCTTGAAGCGTGGGAAAGACAGACACCCGTCCCAGCATGCACTCTAGCTTGGGTTGGCTAATGATATACATCATGGAGATCGATAATCGTTAACTAAATATCGATCGATTATCGATAAATATCGGAGACGTAACTTTGAGCAAAAATGCCAAAAACGTCTGAAAGAAATCAACATATTTGACATCCCTGGTGAGCGGTGACATGTTTTTCATGGACTACTAACAAAACAACGTCCTGGACATAATTAAACAGCAGACCATGAATAAAGTCCTAAATTTGTATGTTGTGTGGGAAAGCTGAAACTTACGATGTACGATATTATCGATAACACAATTTTCATACCCATAATCATTAACATTTTAACTATCGACGATATTATCCGATTATTGATCATTTTAGCCAGTCAGGTCTGTAGCTCACCTTCACCTCTTAAGTCAACATCGTCATCTGAGGCAACATCATGCAACAACGTCAACTCTTTAATCATTGATTTAACAGATTAAAGTTCTTTCCTTGACAATCCGCAAGGTGGTGGAATGTACAACGACATATCTATGTAAAATCGATCTCTTACTGTTGCTATGGTACCTCATCCCTACCAGAAATACAATACGCCATCAACAGGGTATCTCTCAGCGTCGTAGCGTGTACACACTCATTTTCATCTGCCCAATAGATAAATACATAAGTAAATCTTGGACATCGTTCAGCGTTAAAATGCACAAACCCCGCTCTTCAGCCAATCAGGACACAGTCATTGGTTTTCGGTTTGCAAAAGAATAATTGCTTAGTTATCTGATCATATGCCATGGAATTACTTTCAATTTATTTTTATTAACACAAGCTGGCATTGGAGAAACATATGTAACAAACATGATGATTTAAAGGAAAGTCACGTCATAGAGTGAGTGAGTGAGTGAGTGAGTTTTATGCTGCTTTTAGAAATATTCCAGCAACATCACGGCAGGAGACACCAGAAATGGGCTTCATACATTGTACCCATGTGGGGAATTAAACCCGGGCCTTCGGCGTGACGAGCGCATGATTTAACCATTAGGCTACCCACCGCCCCTCACGTCATACAGACTAACCTTCACCTCCACTTGAAAATCAGGTTATCGGACAAAGGTCACTATGTTGTGGGAGTGGACATCGCAGAGAAAGCTGCCAGGGATTTCTTCTCTGAACAGAAGCTGGAGTACACAACAGAAGAAGTTCCGGGCATCAAGGGGAAGGTGTTCACTGTAAGCTGGTTGGTTGTTTAACGCTGCACGCAGCAATATGTCAGCTATATGTCAGTAGGCTGTAAATAATCGAGTCGGGACCAGACAATCCAGTGCTTAACCCGGCTCCAGATAAGGGCCGTATCGGCGTATGTACGGATACAATACGTGCACGATACGGTAAGAAATAATTTAGAAAACGTAGCAGATATGCGCCACAGCAATGGTGTACGGTCTTAGAATCATTTACAGACGTATTTATCTGAAAAAGTTTTGTTTTAATGTACTCCATTAAATTCCATTAAGGGCCTAGATTTCGAAGCTCTCTTAGCGCTAAGATAGTCGTAAGTTAACGTTAATGTATGGCACTTACGACTTTCCTAGCGCTAAGAGAGCTTCGAAAATCTAGGCCCAGTACTCTAAATGCACTCTTAAGTTTTTCCAGTACTCCTATATTAAAAAAATAAGGAGTAGGTACTCCTGATGTTGAAACATTATCTGGAGCCCTGGATTCACATCATCAGCATCGATCTACAAAATTGGCATATGATGACATGTATCAATCAAGTCAGCGCGCTTGACCACCCGATCCCGTTAGTCGCCTCTTATAACAACAACCATGGATTGCCGAGGATGGGTTGCTGAAAACCAGTTCTAACCCGGTTTTCCGCGGGTGTTTACTGCAAAAGTTGCTGGTAGTATTTAAAACTATTCTCTTTTTACAAATTTCAGAATAAAGATACAGATTACATTTTCAAGACACAAGTCAAAGATTCAGGCGCTGGTCAGAGATGTTTTGTTTGCCACACACGCTGGTAGTAGGCTAACTGTGTTTAACATCAGACACTGGATTGTCTGGCCCAGATTAATAAATACAGGTTCCTTGTGTTAATTGAATAATTCTGTGTGCAGCTTAAAGCAACACCAATCAAGTTAATATACACCAAACACCAAAATAAACGTTACCCTCCTTACTTAATGATGGATCCCGGAGGTACCTATCTTCAGCTGGCGTTGTGATGCGTGGACGTCCACTTCTTGGACACTTTACGTTGACCCCAGTCTGTCTGAAGCCCTGAATAAATCTTAAAACCGTGATACGGTGGCATCCAAGGGCGTTGGCAACAGCACTGTGTGTCGACACCACCTGCACCATCCCAATGGCTCTTTCTCTCTCTTCAGCTTTTAATCGTGGCATATTTCTCGTACTTGTGTATCATATCATGTATTCTAGGCTCTCTTCATACCCTATACAATCATTCTAAATGTGAAATGGATGCATATACTGCTTGAATATTTGGCGATTGATATTGCTATGTGTAAACTGAAAATAGAAAAGTGTTATTTTGCAAGCAAAATATTTAACAAAGATAATTTTAGATGTTCCTAAACATTTTTTCACAATATCAAAAAACGTTTTACTTGTTTTCACTAATGCAAATTAAGTAGAAAATGTTTAAAAGACTGAAATCACAGGAATCATTATTTTACAATTTTACACACTCTACAACAGTTGTTTCTTGTTTTAATAGTTAAAAAAATGGTGACTTTAAATGGTTTATCATTGTCCCAAAGCAGAATTTTATTTCAACCTTTCTTTTGGACATCAAAAGCACTTATTGGTTTCTTTCGGCATGGACGAATATAGGGCAATTTAACTCTTCAGAAAAAGATGCATTTTACCTAGATATGAATGCATTTGAGAATTGTTTTCCTGATTTGCATGACGCTGTTTTATTAAGCTTTCTTGTAAACTAACACCTTCTAAGATATCTTTGATAGTTTTTCAGTAATTTATAAAAGTAGGAGGGTAACGTTTCTTTTGGCGTTTAGTGTATGTTGTAATGTTGTTGGTATTATCTTTTTCGTGCAGAGCAAGACGGGCGAACTGAAATATTACTGTGAAAACTTCTTCACCTTTTCTCGGTAAGTAGTAAAATAAAAATGTCATATGCTCTCACTCGCTTGATAACGGTCTTAGCATCTACACCCAAACGTCGCATGTACTGTAACAAAGAAGTTGTATATCCACAGACCTATCCCCTTGTACATCCAACTCCCAAAAGCCACTCAAATAGGTTGCTCTCAGTGAGTCAGAGTACATAGTACTAGTAGTAGTAGTAGTAGTAGTAGTAGTAGTAGTAGTAGTAGTTGTTGTAGTTGAGGGGCGGGAGGAGGATGTATGATGAATAATAGTTGGTGTTGCCAGTATTCGATGATTGTATCTGCTATTGTGTAGTAATTATATGGCATGTTGAAAAAAACTAGCTTACAAAATTGCTTCCGACTCCGAGCACTTTCTTCACAATGAATATATACCTTTACCTTCTGGACGCCGCTTTCAAACTCCACTTTTTTAGAACTAACAGGGAATCAACATAATTTATTCCAACCAGCATCGCTATTTTAAAACCAGTAAATTTACGCTAAACTTTTATCGGTTGTATTCTCATACGTCAACCTGACATTGTATCTTCTGTATTTTAAATTATAAGCTCCTGCATCAAGCAATTACCTCTATGTTTTTATATTTCACTCTCCTGTTATGACCTGTTTGAGTGCTATTTTTATTCAGTAAAGTTTAAATTATACATCATATACCATAAACTGTACATGTTTATACCAGTTTATACCATAGTCCCTATGTGTAAATACTGTGTTGTTGTGTTGATTCGCATATAGTTACATGTACTATTTACTGCTTTTACGTATTATAGCATCTGATGTACAACAAATTCGCTTTCGGACAAATAAAGTATTTATTTTTTTAATTACCGATTTGTTCAGGTGAACTATCTTTTGCATGGGGAACTGGATATGCTAACCTCCTCTCGAACACCTGGTATCTTCACTATTGTGAATTCATGAACACTTGCTCATGATATAACCAAAATCGGACTATCGACTCTACTCTTGGCAGAGATTGCTTGTGGGTGTGGAAAGGGTTGTCGTCCACTCCCTATAGGCAGTTGGACTATAGTCGATTGGACAACTTTCATTTCTTGGAGTGCTTGTCCACTCCGAAGTCCGCGCTTCTCGCCTAAATTGCCAATAGCTACCGAGTGCAGCCGATTATAGTGTCGACTCAATTCAGGTGCATGTAATGAAAAACATATTTTGTACAACACATTAGAGGTCACTTTTAATATTTCTGAATGAACATTTCTTTGCAGTTGACTCGGCATAGATATATGAGATTATGATGAGGGTGGTTATAGTTCTTCAGCAATATTCCAGCGATATCCCATCAGGCATTGATGTCCTGTATCCTCGGCGATTCACGTGATTGTGGAAAGCATTATCAGAAGAAGGTGCTGTAAAATCACCCACACTCCTTCCCAAGGTTACGCAAAACCAGATATTTTCCCACTGACTTCTCGAGTGATTATTCATTTTTTTGGTTAAAATTAACTGTGATATCAACAGCTATTACATGAACATGTGTGCATAGACTGGCCTTAAAGACGCAATAGAAATATGAAATATGACCACCTCAGCCGGCTCCTTGTCCGACTACAGGAAGCTAATCAGACCAACCCCAGTTCCGCACAAAATGTCAACCACATGAAAATACCTGTGGTCACATTCAGTACAAATCGTAATGGAAACAAGACAGCACTAACTATTAATAAATATAACCAGTTATAATTACTGGTTGAGCGTACCTTTAGAAAACAGGAAAATCTTACAAAAAATCACCCAGTCACAACTGTCAGAATATTCAGTCTGCACTGAGTGCTTGTTAAGCTACGGATCCTGATTTGGTGTGGTGTAACCTCAAGCCTATTTTCAGAAAAAAAATTTCAACATTTTCTCTTGTCACATTTTATTACCATACCATGTCACAATTCTATCATTCATTATGGTCTGCTACTTAATATATCCAACAGAGACGATATGCATATACTGTTGGCAACAGTTCCCGGAATCAAAGTGCATCATAAGATGAAAGCAGGTAAACTGCCATTCCAGTCAGTTCCTCTTCCGCAGACAGTAGGTCTGTAGACTAACCTTGGCATCATATTCTGTGAAGTCCTGTGGCATCGCGTCTTTGTCAGCGTCACCACCGTGGGCCTCGCTGAAGTCGTACACGTACTCGTCCAGATACTCCACGTCGCAAATGTCGCCTGTGATAAAACAACGAGCTAGGCTGTCTGATAAACTAGCGAATCTGTCATGAAACAGTGATACAAATCCTGATGCAATTCACCGAAACACTGATGTTGTGATACAATATATGGAGTCACACATATGCAGTTTAATCGCTAATAACGATGATGAAGGCAGTGTAACACATACTTATATTCCTAATAAAGAAATGATGTGTACAGAGTAGGGCTGGCTAAAATGACTGTGGAAAATGGTGATTACTTTCAGACTTTTTGGGGGCATTTTTGCTGAAAATTACGTCTCCGATATTCACACATATGAAGTCTAATCGGTAATAAAGATGATGAAGGTACCGTGAGACATGCTGTATTCATAATAAAGAAATGATTTCAGCCAGTATGTGTACAGCCAAGGGCTGGCTAAAAGGATCGATAATAAAAAGATATTAATGATTTTCGATAATATCACACATGAACTTTTGTGACAGAAACAAGTTTTAATTTTCTCACACGACATACAATTTTAGGGCTTTATTCATGGTCTGCGTCTTAATTATGTTCAGGACTCCCTGTGGTGGGACAGCCGGAGGCAAAGCAGGTCTTTTACAGAATGCCCCTTTGGCAAGACCCGCATACATTGAGAAGCTGCAACCTAGGGTTCAAACCCGTGATCACAGGATTCGGGGAAGCTTAAGGAACGCAACTCTAATTAGCAAACTACAGCACCTTAGACGAATAGATGTGGTGTTACTAAAGCAACATAATCGTATGAATAGGGATTTACCGTATCATCCATTCAACTGTTCTTCACTGAAGTGATAAGGAGCCCCTGTCATGAAGGACACATATGTCAGTAATCCCACTAGAAACAATCTGAGCACAGCCCGACACTGGTTTTTTGATAGCCACACACATCCCTCACGGGGCGGTGGGGTAGTCTAGTGGTTAAAGCGTTCGCTCGTCACGCCGAAGACCCGAGTTCGAATCCCCACATGGGTACATTGTGTGAAGCTCATTTCTGGTGTCCCCCTCCGTGATATTGCTGGAATATTGCTAAAAGCGGCGTAAAACCAAACTCACTCACTCACTCACATCCCTAACCTCTTCTGTAGACCCTCCTCCTATTGACCTCACCTCACTGGAAGCCCCTCCCTCGCATCAAGCCCTTCTACCGAACCGACGCCGTCTAACCAATCCTAAAACCTCACGTTATGTCTGAACAACACGTAAATATCATCATAAACAACATACATTCATGACATGTAATGCAAAAAATGAAAATTAATGAAAGAGTTAACAGCCGCAGTGATTACTTTGAGAGGCGTTCGTAGTAACGAGTCCATATAAGGAATGTCACATGATCATACTCGTGATCTCTTGCATGGTGTGTGACCCAACCATAGGTCATAGATCATGCAATATCATACGAGACACACTACGAGAACTGATTATGGCATTATGTTCTGACTTCAAACTCTCTGTTCCAATACACGAAATCTCTAGACAATACCTTTCGTGCCACGCTCGTTTTAAGGGTCGTTTTGCTTAAGTGAATGTCCTCACGGATAACGTTTAAACCACGCCCACAGAAGCGGGCTGCTCTTTCATCACAACCTACGGAATGTAGGGGAATCCCCGTCACAGTGGAGGGAATTACCTCCCTTCTCACCTTTGTCATCATACACAAAGCCCTTCAGCGTACATATCCATCGCCCAAACAACCATGTGAATGAAAAGGCAAACATACTCGTTCACCTGTTTCACTCTAATCAGATTCATACAGATTGCACATTAGGTTTAAGATGACCCTAAAAGCTACACAGTGAATTCTTAATAGTCAAAATATATCTACTTGAATTATAACTTACTTATCAATATATTGCGTTCAGAAATTACCTTTCCGATTCACGCCAGGAATACAACATGGTTACAAAGCCCTAATAAACAAGTATTCATAACAAACTGAAGGCCATCAATCAATCCACTGTATTACACATGTTTACATATACGTGTAAAGCATCTAAACATGGACGTCGTTGTAGACAGAAATTCACAAAAGTTTAGTAGTAGAGAAACATTTTGATTGAAACAATAAGAACGGTTTATAGAAATTTGAGCTGGTAACAAAAGAGGATATCAGGTATTTGTATCTCTCATTTCTAAAACATTAAAAGGTCATGGTTTGTATAGGTTTGACAGTATCTTTGCTTGTGGGGAATATTTTCTGATTTTGATTGATAATTTATTCGTAGATTACAGTGGAGCCTTTTATAGCGGCATGCAGTCGTATTTCAGAGAATATATCAAAACGTTTAGTTTTCTGGTACCGATGGTCATACAAGATTATTTTTGTCTGATACAGATGATAGAAAGCTTGTTGTTGAACGTTGTTAGATTCCTCTGTATAGCATTTATAAGAGCAGAACGTCTTAAGGTACGTTTATGTCTCAGATAGTTTATGAAAAGTTTACGAAGCAAAATATTACGCACTGTTCAAGCTAAACAATAAAGTTACATTCAATAAGCAAATGAATATTTCTTACACGTTTGTATAAGAAATACATACTAGCTTGTAATTGATAATACAAGTAGTTTTGGTCCGCTTTTAGCAATATTCCAGACGGGGACACCAGAAATGGGCTGAACAAATTGTACCCATGTCATTGTAATTCTATACCCCACCGCCCCTCTATACTACAAGTTGTTAGCAGGCCTTGATGGCTGAAGTTTCTGAAAAAGTAAGAAAGTCTCTTGGGTCAATTTCATTATTTTATAGAGATGATTTAAGATCATTTTCCTGTAAATTATGTTTATTTCAGAGACTTAATGTCAGTCTAGTGGAATGATTGACAGAACTTTGTCTAGCAGCGGCATAAGAGCGGTTTCAACTGAAGATCGCTGTATTTATTTTGATTTACAATCTCAACTGGCTCATAACCCACTTTTATTTTTGTAACTGCCATATGTAACTTTTCACGTTGTTCATTTTAATTGCCGTTTCATTTCAGAATTATTATCCAAGGAATTAAGTGCATTTTATAATTCAAGAGGTCTATCTGCTTCGAGCATCCGGTCATGGGACTGTCTATCATTTAGTTCAGCACAAGATTTTCTGTTGTTGTACATAGTTTGTACTTTAAGGCCGCACTCAGCAATATTCCCGCAAAATGGCGGCGTTGTACAAAGACTTGATTACATTAAATAGGATTCTATTTACGTTATGGCTTAAAGGTTCTTCAAACAGTACTGAAAACTATGAAAGCACACACAGTTTATGTGTTCTTGTATGTTGTATATCAGAAAGTCTATAGATATGTTCTTGTATGTTGTATATCCGAAAGTCTTTAGATATGTTCTTGTATGTTGTACAGCAGAAAGTGTATGAAACGTAACTTTGTGATATGTCGCAGAAATTCCTCCCTCCAACCACCCTGGTTATGTTACAGTGGTTGGGTGAGTGAATATTGCTTAACGCCGCATCAGCAATGTTGCAGCTATTCGCGGCGAGTTATGGTACAGGATCGCCGATGACACTGGTACTGACTTAACTTGGTCTCCACTACAGATGTAAACAGTTTACTAATACGTCGTTTTTTGTGAGGATTTTGCAGGATGTTTATGCTCGATACCATAAATACATCGTCCTTCGTTGATCTTAATCGCGCTGTTAGCTGGAATGTTGCTGAGTGCGACGTAAAACTAAACTCACTCACTCACTCATCGCACTGTAAAGTCGTCCGTCACATGAACTGTCTTTTCACCCTTGCAACATTTAAAACACATGGTCATTCACTATAAAACCCCGGTACCAGGAATTCCCAGTCATGACTATCCTCAGAATTAGATTTAATTTGATGTAAAGGGCAAAACAGCTGTGAATAGGAATGGACCACTGAAAACACAGGGATGACACCAGGTGTTCTAAAACATGGTTCTGCCCTATTTGTAGGACCCACCATTCACACGCTATGTCTACAAAGCAAGGATTAACAGATCCACGTCCAACAGCAGTAATTCTGCGACAAGTAAACAAACCGACATTTGAAGGAAAACCAAGTTCTATGGATAGTCAATTCTTTATTTGGTGAAGGTACTTACACCGGTATCAAGCATGTGATGATAACTAATGACCTATATGGACATGTTCAGGACATGTACCACTTACCTGTTATATTACAAAGATGGCTACTGGACCTCCTTCTAACCTGAACCCCAGGTCCTCCTGTAATGAGGTCGCCTGGCTAATGGCCTGTATGGACATGTACAGATACCACTCACCACGCTGCTATGTTACAGTGCAGGTGAAAGATGGCTACTGACCTTCCTTCAAACCTGACCCCCAGGTCCCCCTGTACTGAGGTCGCCTTGCTAATGACCTATATGGACAGTTACAGATACCACTCACCACGCTGCTATGTTACAGTGCAGGTGAAAGACGGCTTCTGAACCTCCTTCTAACCTGACCCCCCAGGTCCTCCTGTACTGAGGTCGCCTGGCTAATGACCTATATGGACATGTACAGATACCACTCACCACGCTGCTATGTTACAGTGCAGGTGAAAGATGGCTACTGAACCTCCTTTTAACCTGACCACCCAGGTCCTGTACTGAGGTCGCCTTGCTAATGATCTATATGGACATGTACAGATACCACTCACCACGCTGCTATGTTACAGTGCAGGTGAAAGATGGCTACTGAACCTCCTTTTAACCTGACCCCCCAGGTCCTGTACTGAGGTCGCCTTGCTAATGACCTATATGGACGTGTACAGATATCACTCACCACGCTGCTATGTTACAGTGCAGGTGAAAGATGGCTACTGAACCTCCTTCTATCCTGCCCCCCAGGTCCTGCTGTACCAGCGAGACTATATATATTTTGTAGATTATCCCTGGCTGTACTGAGGTCGCCTGGCTAATGACATATATGGACGTGTACAGATACCACTCACCACGCTGCTATGTTACTGAGTGCAAGTGAAAAATGCAGCGGAAGGAGACTAAAGTTCAAAGGGGACATAAAAGTTGACAAACAAAAGGACACAACTAACATCTATATTTATATTGTCACGCCACTTAAAGAGTCTCAAACCTGACAAAAATACAACTGTTAACTCCCAACATGATTCTGACACTTTGGTGTACCCCACCCGCCTGCTTTCCCGATCGCTACGCTACCATTGCATGGAATCGATTGAAACTTAATGTAAGTATAATCATGGATGATTGGCCTATCGACCACCGCTCATGACACCTACCAATTCTTTATTGTTATTTCTGCAAGTCGACTGAAAGCCGATTTTGACCCTCAACTAAACGATCTCGTCTTAAATGGATGACGAAAGGTCAGCAAAAACGGGTGTGTGGTCGAAACAAGCCCTCTGATTGGTCGACCCAAAGCAGGCGGGTGGGGTACACCGAAGTGTAGACCTTGTCATGATTTACTTACTGTTAAGCATTTTGAGTCGGGGGCATCTCAAAATTCATCTTTTTTTCTAATCCTTATCCTCGCAGACACGAGGGCCTGGGACTGGGACTGGATACTTCGAAGCTTGTCCTGCATAACCTGAAATAATAATGAAAAGAATGACCTCAACTTACTCCTGTTGAGTAGGGGCTGTTCTGGTTTAATAGAAAACAAGAAACGAAAGTCGTCGTTACATCGGCAAAATGTAAACAGTGAAACACACCCTATTTTAAAAAATGACGTGCGTTGATATTTGGTGTCACCTCACTAACATGGATCAAAATGACCACATTTATTGAATCTAGTTAGGATCTCTATTTTAGCAAATGTGATTGCACATACATTTATCGATGATGTGGCCCATTTTCACCTGTGGTATGCTGGAACTAAACTGAACGAGCAGTAATAGTGACTAGAAAATAGTACTTTTTATCTGTAAATGATGTTCTGAAATACACGCTCCCAGGTGAGGCTTAAGTTTGCTAAAGTCACGTTTAGTAAAGAACAGTTATCAATATTTCATATGCGTCTATTTTCCTATTGTCATACACATAAAAAACTGTAGCTGTTTAAGGGGGTGGGGTGAGGTGAGGAATGGGGTCCATTCAATTTGGGAACCTGTTGGTATTAAAACCACAACAGTGAACTAGTCAACATATTCAGAGCAAACATAAGCATAATCACTGTTTGTGTGTTGAACTATGTATGTGTACACTGCTGTAAAGTATAATACAGTACAGCAAAAGGAATTGTATTTTTATGGGTAATGTATGTATCTTTAAAGTCATGTATGAACATACTGATCATACTGTGTATTTTCTTATTTTCAGTTTAGTCAAATACTGTGTCAAATTCATTGTATTGAGCAGTGTAATTGTGGATTGTTTTGTATACAGATAATTTCTTTCACCATATTTATTATAATCATAAACATTTGGAATAATATTGGAATGATAACTTTTTCATGTTGTTTTGCAAACCGATTCAGACACTTAATATGCAACAACATTCTGTGAAAAATGACTATGTATATGGATCTGTTTATAAACTTTTACAAATGATATGTGCCAAAGTAACTCAAGATAATGAATATATTTTTACTGTTTTATCATCCCACCGAGAGTCGAGAATGTCACAAGCACATCCACAGTTAAAAACATGGATGAATTATGACCTCATTATGTATTAGAAAACAAATAGATAATAAATGGCTTTTATATTTACAAAACTATATAGAGGCTTAATATAGGCATGACAAACCCTGTAATTAACATCATTCATATGGATCTAAAAGTTCTCTCCAAGTTTTTTTCACTGGGCGATCGAAAATGTGACCGGTAAAAATACCATTGATCGTCACAGCAGTCGATATGTGGACGCATCGACAGCAGTTGATACTTGGTGTCATCGTCGGCACTTCTGTATGCACGTAGCCTATTGGTCCCAACACTAATACATCCATGTTGAGGTGGCGCATATGTTCAGAGAATAATTCGACCTTCTTTACACATCCCTCTACGCAGATTTTCAACATATCCTGGTTTTCATTGAAAGTTAAGAAGGATATTACTGAGACGAACAAAGAGTCATTGTAAGTTACATGTTACATACATGTCAACATTGTTTAAGTCGAATATTGCAATGATTATAGTTGTATTGTCAGTTTTCTTCCTGCTGTAATTGTATCAACAATGTGGATAACAATTACTATAAGTTGTCTTCTTATGCATGGTCATATTTGAAATAGAGAGCTTTTATGGTACTTTTAATGTCAATATCTGTGTGTTGTGATTACATTAGCGTTGTGGATTTTCGCATACCAATTACAACATTTGCCCATACGTATTTACAACTGTTAAGTGAATGTTTTGATTGCACTGCCCACAAAACCCTCAGACAAACTGACCAAATTTCGTCCTTCTGTTGGATGTCAAATGTTGGCTTTGATGGCTTCTGAAGAAGGAAATGCCAATTCTTTGAACATTCTTATACCTTTGTAAAAGTTTGATGCAGAGTTTTGTCATACAGGAAGCTTGCGCAGGTAAACAGTGAATATATACTCATGCCAATAATGGTTGTCACCCCCTTCAATGTTTGTAATTGGAGAGGGGGTGTGGGGTGGGTGTGTGAGGTCGGTGTGGGGTTGTGGTGGGGAGGGGGTGACAACCATTATTGGCATGAGTATATATGTGTAAGAGACAACACAATTCACACTGTTGATAAGTATGTATTAGACCCAACTATCTCATATATGAAACAAAGATCCTTTCATATTAGGAGATTGAGTTTTTATAGATAATCATAGTAAAATGTATTATTAGGTTATGGACTCGTGTATGTCTGTTTAAAGACCATCTGCTCCATTTACTAAGCCTTAACCAGTGCACATACATGTATATAACTAAGCGGTTCAGACCCCTAATTGTATCTTATTTCAAGCATTATACTTTTAATGTCATTGTTTTCTCGTTGTTACACACGATGTGGATAAGCTCATATATGGTTGTACACGGCATACAGTGTGAAGTAGATGATATTTTTGTTGGTCACACTGTCAAAACACATTTTCCTGATCTGATTTCACCTCTATCCCAGTTGATACATGTCGGTTCGATGGTTTATAAAGGGGATATCACCAGTATTTGAACATTCATATAATAGGTAAAGAAAGTACTCATACCTTTCGCTCATATGACGACCTGCATGTGTGTGAATGTGTATGTGCGGCTGCTTGTACTAGCCCAGACTGAAGCTGGTTTTATAGTGCTAGCCCACTGAGATACCATGCCGTAGTGAAGCATGAATACCCCACTCAGACACATTATACTGACTCCGAGCCGACCAGTCCTTGTTGTACCCATTAATGCCGAGCGCCAGGCAGGGACCAACGAGTACCATATTTTAACGTCTTTTGGTATGACGCGGTCGGGGATCGAACCCGCGACCTTCCGCACTCCGGGCGGACGCTCTAACCACTACACCACGGAGGCGGTTTAATTCTACTGAAAAAGATGCATTTCACCTAAATATGAATTTGGTTTCGTGATTTGCATAAAGTTGTGTTGTTCAGCTTTATTGTAAACTTTTTTTCGCCCTTTGAAAATGACTTAAGACCACATTGAGAAATAAAATGCGTTTCAAAATTCCTGGATCCGACCATGCTATAGATTTTCTGATGTACAACATACAAGAACACAAAAACTGTGTGCTTTCATAGATTTCAGTACTGTTTGAAGAACCTTTAAGCCATAGCGTAAATAGAATCCTATTTAATGTAATCAAGTCTATGCATCACCAATCCCCACGCCGCTATATTACATTGCAGGTGAAGGATGGCCACTGAACCTCCTTCTAACCTGACCCCCCAGGTCCTCCTGTACTGAGGTCGCCTGGCTAATGACCTATATGGACATGTACAGATATCACTCACCACGCCGCTATGTTACAGTGCAGGTGAAAGATGGCTACTGACCCTCCTTCTAACCTGACCCCCAGGTCCTCCTGTACTGAGGTCACCTGGCTAATGACCTTTATGGACATGTACAGATACCACTAACCACGCTGCTATGTTACAGTGCAGGTGAAAGATGGCTACTGACCTCCTTCTAACCTGACCCCCCTGGTCCTGTACTGAGGTCACCTGGCTAATGACCTATGTGGACGTGTACAGACACCACTCACCACGCCGCTATATTACAGTGCAGGTGAAGGATGGCCACTGAACCTCCTTCTAACCTGACCCCCCAGGTCCTCCTGTACTGAGGTCACCTGGCTAATGACCTATATGGACATGTACAGATACCACTAACCACGCTGCTATGTTACAGTGCAGATGAAAGATGGCTACTGAACTCCTTCTAACCTGACCCCCCAGGTCCTCCTGTACTGAGGTCACCTGGCTAATGACCTATATGGACATGTACAGACACCACTCACCACGCTGCTATGTTACAGTGAAGGTGAAAGATGGCTACTGAACCTTCTTCTAACCTGACCCCACAGGTCCTGTACTGAGGTCGCCTGGCTAGTGACCTATATGGACATGTACAGATACCACTCACCACGCTGCTATGTTACAGTGCAGGTCAGCATGCAGCGGAGGGAGACTAAAGGTCAAAGGGGACATTAAGGTTGACAAACAAAAGGACCCAACTAACATCTGTATGCATATTGTCCAGCCACTTAAAGAGTCGAAAAATCTGACAAGAATACTACTGAAAATTGACAACATGATCTAGAGGATTTTTCAAACGATATCTTTTACATGTTGATAATCCATATGAATACACATATGAATTGAGAACTGGAATTTGACTTACTTTTTCAGCAACTGTATTCAGTTTTAGACTGAGTCGTCACTTCTCTCAGCTTTTCTAAATGTAACACTGTTGGTCCTCACGGAGTCTTCATAACCCAAGGGGTACACGTTGGGCCTTTCTCCAGGGACACAGGTATAGCAGCTCCGATGACTGTAGTGACGATGCTGGGACGACAAGGCCTCGTGTTTTTTCGAGGATTAAAGACTAGAAAGAAAAAAAAATTGAGATGCCTCCCGACTCGAAATGCTTCCCAGTACAATAAATCATGACAATACAAGGCCAGACACTTCGGTGTACCCCACCCGCCTGCTTTGACGATCGCTACGCTACCATCGCATGCAATCGATTAAAACTTAATGTAAATATATCATGGATGGTTGGCCTATCGATCACCACTCATGACACCTACCTGATTCTTTATTGTTATTTCTGCAAGTCGACTGAAAGCCGATTTAGACCCTCAACTAAACGATCTCGTCTCAAATGGATGACGAAAGGTCAGCGCAAACGTGTGTGTGGTCGAAGCAAGCCCTCTGATTGGTCGACGCAAAGCAGGCGGGTGGGGTACACCGAAGTGTCGGCTTTGTGATGATTTATTATACTGTGAAACATTTCGAGTCGGGGGGCATCCCAAAATTCATTTCTTTCTAATCCTCGCAAAGACACGAGGGCCTGTGACTGGGACTGGATACTTCGAAGCTTGTTCTGCATAACCTGAAATAATAATGAAAAGAATGACCTCAACTTACTCCTGTTGAGTGGGTGCTCTTCTGGTTTAATAAAAAGCAAGACACGAAAGTCGTCGTTACATGGGCAAACTGTAAACAGTGAAACACACCCTATTTTAAATAAAGACATGTGCATTGATATTTGATGTCACCTCACTATTGTCACGAAATGGTAGACATAAAACATAGATCAAAACGACCACATTGCTTGAATCTAGTTAGGATCTCTATTTTAGCAAATGTGATTGCACATACATTTATCGATGATGTGGCCCATTATCACCTGTGGTATGCTGGAACTAAACTGAACGAGCAGTATTAGTGACTAGAAAATAATACTTTTTATCTGTAAATGATGTTCTGAAATACACGCTCCCAGGAGAATCTTAAGTTTGCTTAAGTCACGTTTAGTAAAGAACAGTTATCAATATTTCATATGCGTCTATTTTCCTATTGTCATACACATAAAAAACATGTAGCTATATCTGGGGGTGGGGTGGGGTGAGGGATGGGGTCCATTCAGTTTTAGAACCTGTTGGTATTAAAACCACAACAGTGAACTAGTCAACATATTCAGAGCAAACATAAGCATAATCACTGTTTGTGTGTTGAACTATGTATGTGTACACTGCTGTAAAGTATAATACAGTACAGCAAAAGGATTTGTATTTTTATGGGTAATGTATGTATTTTCAATGTCATGTATGAACATACTGATCATACTGTTTATTTTCATATTTTCAGTTTAGTCAAATATTGTGTCAAATTCATTGTATTGAGCAGTGTAATTGTGGATATGTTTGTATACAGATCATTTCTTTTACCATATTTATTATAATCATAAACATTTGGAATAATATTGGAATGATAACTTTTTCATGTTGTTTTGCAAACCGATTCAGACACTTAATGTGACAACATTCTGTGAAAAATGACTATGTACATGGATCTGTTTACAAACTTTTACAAATGATATGTGCCAAAGTAACTCAAGATAATGAATATATTTTTACTGTTATATTATCCCACTGAGAGACAACAATGTCACAAGCACATCCACAGTTAAAAAATGGAAACTTGATGAATTATGACCTCGTTATGCATTAGAAAACAAATAGATAATAAATGGCTTTATATTAACAAAACTATAGAGGCTACACATTGGCATGACAAACCCTGTAATTAACATCATTCATATGGATCTACAAGTTTTCCCCTATATTTTTTTTCACTGGGCGATGAAAACATATATCCGCTAAACCTACCATGTAACGGTGGAAGATACGGGACACAATCGGCTATACCTTCGTCATCAAATTCGCTAAAACAGAGATGCTAACTGTATATAAATTAACCAATGAAGTCATGCAGCGTATCAAGGTTGATCGATTGACATATACACATGCAAACTAAAGATGTAGTTGTAATATCGATCACAATACAGCCTGGTCTTTTATTACGCCTAGTTGGCTATCGCAGGCTGTAAAGAGCGTTGCTCAAAACAAGTACCCGTGTACACGCCATTCCGTGTAGTTGACAGCGTTTGGGAAGACATGTAAGGTAATGTCAGCTATCTGAGCACTCCATCGGAAAAATAAGAAGGATATTACTGAGACGAACAAAGAGTCATTGTAAGTTTCATGTTACATACATGTCAACATTGTTTAAGTCGAATATTGCAATTATTATAGTCGTATTGTCAGTTTTGTTCCTGCTGTAATGGTATTAATAATGTGGATAACAATTACTATAAGTTTTCTTCTTATGTATGGGGATAATTGAAATAGAGAGCTTTTGTGGTACTTTTAATGTCGATATCTTCGTGTTGCGATTACATTAGCGTTGTGGATTTACACGTACCAATTACAACATCTGTCCATACGTATTTAGAACTGTTAAGTGAATGTTTTGATTGCACTGCCCTCAAAACCCTCAGAGAAAATGTCGCCGTCATGTTGGATGTCAAATGTGGGCTTTGATGGCTCCTGAAGGGGGAAATGCCAATTCTTTGAACATTCTTATGCTTTGTAACTATTTTGATGCACTGTTTTGTTATGCAGGAACCGTGCACAGGTAAACAATGAGGAATATATATGTGTAAGAGACAACGCAGTTCACACTGTTGATAAGTATGTAGGAACCCAACTGCCTCAGGTATGAAAAGACGAAAATTAGGAGATAGAGTATTTATAGATAATGATAGTGAAGGGTATTAGTAAGTTGGAGACTTGTGCATGTCTGTTTAAACACCAACCCACAGTCAAACTGACGAAATTCCGTCCTGCCAAATGCTGGTTTTCATGGCTACTAAAGAGGGAAATGACAATTATTGGAAGTGTGAGTGTGTGTGTGTGTGTGTGAGTGTGTGAGAGAGAGAGAGAGTGTGTATTTGTATTGTGTGTGTTTGTGTGTGTGTGTGTGTGTGTGTGTGTGTGTGTGTGTGTGTGTGTGTGGTGATTCTGGTCTAGTAAGGTGGGGGAGGGAGGTCATCAATTTTGTACACTTAAACGGGGGTGGGGGGGGGGTGGGGGTGTCAGCAAAACTCAGATTATGCAAACAATATCATGTGTAACATGAGAAGGGAGTATCATTGATTTTGTATACCACATACGGGGGTCACATAATTCGTATATAAAATAAAGGTGGGGTGGGGGGAGCATTCACACTGTGTATGCATCTCCATATAAATCATCATCACCCCCTAGCCATACATTATATTAGAAGAGTCAGTTTTTAAAGATAATGGTAGTAAAAGGTATAAGTAGACACTTAACCCCAACTGCCCCATTTACTGAGACGTAACCGATCCACGTATATAACTGAACGGTTCAGACCCCGAACTGTGTGTAGAAGAGACACCAACAAGCTTTTAACACCCGTCAGCCAGTGTCTTATTGCAAGTATTATAGTTTCAATGTCATTGTTTTCTCGTTGTTATTTCATAAACGGTGTGGATAAGAATATATGTATGCTTGCATATTGCCAACTGTGTGAGGTAGAGTGAGTGAGTTATATTTTACATCGCATCAGTAATATTGCAGCCATATAGAGATGAGAACAGGTTCAATATATAGAAATGTCTATCTGCAAAGGACAGTAACACAGTATGTTCAGTATCACAGTTTAGGTATAACAAACACATTTTTAATTCAAAACATTATTTTCCTTGACTATCATTTAGTATATATTAAAACTAGGCTACAGACCCTAGTTAGACCACCTTCCAGGGGATCAAAGGGACTTAACGGTACTTCTGCTTCCTACACGATTCCCGGGAGGATTTACCTCATCACTCTGGCTACCAGTGGCTGTGTCAAAAGCTTATCAATGTTAAAAAACCTTCACTGTAATCGAGCAATGTAAAATACTAGTTGATGTTCTTTACTTTCGTTCTTTGATTTAGTTGGACTCTGGACACTGCCAGGGGGACAATACATACACGCTACGTTAACCCCCTGAGTGGCACTGCCATCAGTTATCTCAGTTCGTGATAGCATCCAACTAATTTTAAAACAATTTAAACGCGAAAAATTATTAAATAATTATTTAAAAAAAACATGAATTAATTGGCATTTGTAAACAGATCCTGCCAAGAAGATAATTGATAATAACTATTCCATATGAGAGAAACATCTATACAGTGAAGTGGATTATATTTATGCTGATTACACTGACAAAAACATCGTCCGGATCTGATTTCACCTTTATCCCAGTTGAAACATGTCGATTCCATGGGCTATAAAGGGGATAACACCAGTATTTGAACGTACATATTATAGTGAGTGGGTGAGTTTAGTTTTATGCCGCTTTTAGCAATATTGCAGCAATATCATGGCGGGGGACACCAGAAATGGGCATCATACATTGTACCCATGAGGGGAGTCGAACCCTGACAAGCGAACGCCTTGACTACTATGTTACCCCACCGCCCCTATTCGTATTACAGGTAAGGAATGTACACATACGTTTTCGAAACGATCTCAGGAAGAAAGCAGTAGCATCTGGTCCGGATTACTCTGCCGACTTAATTCACAGTTGTTATGGGAATTTAAAGCTTAGCTCATTTACAACAGCAGTACGGCTGGGTACGCAAAGACGGGTCTTCTTTAAAAACTGGCAACCCCACCGCCCCCATTTGTGTGAGTGCGTGCGTGCGTGCGTGCGTGCGTGCGTGCGGGCAGACAGCTGGTTGTTTTCAGTAATGTTAGGTCAGCGGGCTTAGTATATTTTATACGTCTGCATGTGAAAAATGTCTGTGTGGTCGTAAAGGAAATAGCTCCTGCTGAGTGTGACGAGTCTGTATAATATCCATAACAGCACGTTTCCAAGTCCGTGTCTGACACCTCTCAAGAATAAGCATAGGTTCTTTTGCACGAATCCATATGTGCTAGCAATCAGACACATCATATTCTGCTTTTTTTAATTGATGTAAATCGTAGTTGCTTAAACAAATTACATGTAAATAACACATGGAGTTCATATTTAATATAGGGGCGGTTGGGTAGCCTAGTGGTTAAAGCGTTTGCTCGTCACGCTGAAGAATCGGGTTCTGTTTCCCACATGGGTACAATTTGTGAAGCCTATTTACGGTGTCCCCCTCAGTGATATTGCTGAAATAATGCTAAAAGCGGCGTAAAGCCAAACTCATATTTAATAGCCTGTTAACCATCTAACTCGCGTACTCGCTGTTGTACCGTCCAATCTGGACATGTAAGTCTAGATTAACGTACCTACATTTTGGAAATACCGATTTACAATTGACTGGTAGACAGTATAAAGCTGGCAGTTATAAACATGGGAGAGGCTGGTGATGTAATGCCATTGCCAACAATGAGCCCAGGCTTGGTTAACGCTCAGTCTCTGGAAATATAATTTGGACAGAAACAAACAACTCCATTTAAACTGATAGGAGCCTCGCAGATTCAGATGCTTTCAAACATACGCTTTGTGTCTGTATGGTCTATAGTATTTACACGATAGGATTTATCAAATAAATGAATAATTGTAAATATTCGAGGGAAGTTAAATATGTCCGTTTTGGCAGAATGATTTTGTGGGTCAATGTTTTTTTCTTTACTTAAGCAGCTTACCTGCACAGAAACTTTCGAGCATATAATAATTATCATGAAAGCAATATGGCGGAAGGTTGATATTCCCCTCCCGCCACGAGGCAAACGACAGCAAATGTTTTGATTTGTAGTCAACACCGTAATGTCCATAACATTGTACAGTAATGACTGTTAAAAACGACTAGGGACGAATGATACACGTTGCTGGTTTACTGGAAGAGTCAGGATAGTATAGATCTACTACCTCCATTACATCCGAGGACATTTCCGGGTACTCCACTCACTATGAACTATACACAACTACACAGGGTAGATCCAAGACATTAGGGTATGATCCATGATACGTGGAATAATCTTGACCTGGTCACTGCTGGTCTAACACACTGACCAGTAACACAAATATACAAAACAGGTGTGTTGACGACGCAATATGTCGGCCAGAGTTATATATATCCCTATCCCTGCACTCTCCTACCCAGAGTTCCATGCGGCAAGCCAGCATAGTATCTCTGCCACAGGCCAGAAAAATGTGACGATCCGTCACATCTTGCAATGTCATTTCAATATAATGTACAGATTTCTTTCACTCTTTTATTTTTGACGAGTCTACACATCTAACTAAACATCTTTAATAGAAAGGTTTAGTTTCACTGAGAAAATATCCAAACACATGTAACACTATTTCGTTTTGCGTAGCGATCCTTTGTTTACATAGGTTGTACGGCTCCACGTGCTGTCATCGAAGCCGACGGAGAGCAAACGATGCAGCCAGTTTCATATCTAAATATATACTGTCATAGACCTAACTGTCGCAATTGTGGAAGAATATATATGTAACAATGTAAATTATTATGAAGAGAGCGCCGAAAAGCTTTCGTGAGTCCAGTCTCTTATTATGAATATGCACGTTTGATTACAAACAAGAGAAAAGTCCGGTCACGTGATATGCAAATTAGCCTATGGCAGTGATGTTATGTTAAGTCATCACTGTGCCGGAGTGTGGCTGGTTTGAGGACATCACAAGGGACACAACACTGTCTATGCGTCACATTATTTGATTTGCATATGAATGTAGTATCAAACACTGAAGAATACAATGTAATGATAATTCCGATGAATGCGAAATAAAATGAATTTCACGTTATCAATAGCTTTATGTTCTGAAAATATATACCATTTGCCGGATAATGAAGCGTTAATCGTGCATTTGTAAATTAACGTGTTTAGCGTTTGTGTGTATTTGAGTTCTCTCTCTCTCCGACGGTCATCAAATGTAGCCGTCTTCGTATCAGTGAATATTGTTATTTGACTGTTGTTCATAAACAAATTAATGCTTTCTGATATTATGTCCTTCAATAGTCCGATTTTGAGGATATATCTCATCTTAATTGGGGGATGTACATAAAGACAGCCCAAACATGTGGTTCATTTTGGTCATGTACTTTGTCTCAGAATTGCTGATTAAGTTTGTATGAGTATTTTTCTCCTTAATTTCAACCCTTTATTTTAGAATCAGTATCTCTCTATGTTGTTTCAATAATGCCTGTCCTTATGATCAGTCATACTCCTTATAATGTCTATTGCATGATCCACCATTTATATTTCATCAATAATCAAGAGTTGAACGCTCTGATACTTGTGACGAAGGGTATTGATCTTTTCTTCACTCAGAGGAATGTATGGCCAGTATGCATTAATGCCAATTGAGAATGCACTGTGGATTGTCTGGGCATCAATGTTGAATGCAGCTACCCCAGTTGGTGCTGTAAGTAACACAGAAATGTCATCGGGATTATCTCTGCATTTAGCCAGAAGTCTGTTACATTCATAGCTTATGGCTTTGATGAGCAGAGACTTGCCTGTACCACCAGGGCCATGAACACAGAGATGGAAGGGTTTTGGTTCCAGACCATTTCTTTTTTGAAGAGCCCATTGACGTACCATATAGAAGATGGCACTTTGTTCTGAGTTGAGTGACTGTAGAATCTTTTGAGCCTCAGTTCTGGATAGTGAAGCAGAAACAGTAGTACTTTCATGGGATCTGTGGTCATGACCCTGTAAGTCTGGGATAGCGCAGTCATGATCTGCTTCGTCATCAACTGTTTGTCGTAGGTCTTCACACTCTTGTCTTTCCATTTCAGTTTCAGGACAAATTTGGGACCATGCATCTTGTAAAGAACCAGCAGTCCCTAGAATTTCTTCAGCTCTGTCCAACTCATCTGCATTCGAACAGCTTCTTGTTTCCATCAACAATGGTTTTCACCAACTGTATACTAGTGCCAATTTGTACACTGCCCTCGCGATAGAAACGTTCATGCGATTGAAAAGCAGGTGGTTTGAGCTGTGCATTGACTCTGTATGGCAGAAATAGTTGCAACAGTGAGTGATAGTACTTCTCCGAATCTTTCATTTGGGAGAATCTGGGATAACGAATAACTGCTGGTTTGCTGTTAGTTCTTTTTTGCATGAACCCAAGGCCTTTCTGAAGAGTGAGCACAGGAGTTCTGCGTTTCTCCTTGCTGACACGAGACATTTCTGATTGTGTGACTATCCTAAACTCTGAGCAAAATTGGGCTAAGCACAGCTTGTCCATATCCTCACCAGTTGGTCTGTGAGTGTAACGATCAATGATACTTGTAGCCCACATGTCGTCTTCTTCAAAATCTTCAGAAGAGCATTTTTGTTTGATTGTCTCAAGAGGCAAGCTTAAACGTGCTACGTTCATGCCTACAGGTACAAATTGCACTAAACGAGAGCTCTCTTTTAAGTGCATATTGCAGACTCTGTACACGGCTTCTTGTGCACTTACTTCTCTGTGAGTGAGATAAGTGTGACCGATCTTTTTGAGTGCTTGCTTTGCATTGATGTTGTCATCTTTACGTGCTTCTTTTTCTGTCTGGGCAAGCAGTAAACCCATTTCACGTTCGGCTTTGCTGATGTATGATATGATGTAAACCACACATGAATATGCATCAATGACAAACTGAATATCCATGTTGGCATTCCAGCATTTCAACAAAGCAGGATTATACTGGTTAATCCATACATCACTGGGTCGCCTTTGTAGTAAAATACTTGTTCGTTTGCCCAGTGCAGCACATGCACTTTCTACGTCTTCTTGAGCAACACCTATTGCCTGTAGCAGTGACTCAGTAGAATCGTATTGATTTTCATCATTTATCTCTCTCCAGATTTGGTTCAGTATCTCTTCTGCTGTTTTTGATGACATTTTTGGTTGTAGGATTTCACCAAGGAATCGCATATCTGGGTTGCCATTAGCATCCTTGGGCAAATCGTCAACAGTTTTCGTTTCATTGTTTGATTCAGGATGAGAAATGAACGTTTTGCATGATGGAGGTCTTGGAAAATTGAACCGACAGGTTCCATGGCTTATGTAAATTTAAGAAGGGGATAACACCAGTATTTAAACAGTCATATTATAGTCAGTGAGTGAGTTTAGTTTTACGCCGCTTTTAGCAATATTCCAGCAATGTCACGTTGGAGGACACCACAAGTGGGCATGACACATGTGCCCATGAGGGGAATCGAACCCTGGTCTTCGGAGTGACGAGCGAACGCTTTAACCACTAGGTCCCCCCAACCGCCTCCAATCATTTTACAGGTATGGAATGTGCACATACGTTTTCGAGTTGATCTCAGGAAGAAACCGGTAGCCATATATGCTTGCTTGAAAAAGTATGTGTGGTCATGAGGGAAATAGGTCCCGCTGAATGTGATGAGACTGTGAAATATCCATATTGTACACAACAGAACGTTTCAAACATATGACACCTCTCAAACGTAGATTCTTTTGCACAATTCAATTTGTGCTAGCTATCAGTCACATCATATTATGCCTACATTTTGGAAATACCGATTTACAATTGACTGGTAGACAGTATAAAGCTGGCAGTTATAAACATGGGAGAGGCTGGTGATGTAATGTCATTGCCAACAATGATCCCAGGCTTGGTTAACGCTCAGTCTCTGGAAATATAATTTGGACAGAAACAAACAACTCCATTTAAACTGATAGGAGCCCGGAGATTCAGAACCTGAGCTATTGACGTCATGATTTGCTTCACGTTGGGGGAGGAATAGTCACTCAGAAGGTCACACTCAGTGTACCCTGTCCAGTGCCCTCGCCTTAAAGAGCAGTGTAATTCATGTAACACTTGCAGATTTATTTTACACGGAGAGATGGCCATATGTTTAGTTGACATGTGCTTTCACATACCAGCTTTGTGTTTGCATGGTTTATGGTCTTCTAACAGTATATGTGATATTCCATTATCATTTCTTAACTTAATTGAAAGAAATCATATTATATGATGTAATCTGCTACAGATGCTTTAAAACATGCGCTTTGTGTGTGTATCGTCTATGGTATTTACACGATAATTTTAATCAAACAAATATTTAATGGGGAATATTCAATTGAAATGAAATATTTTCGTTTGGCAGAATGATTTTGCTGGTTAATGTTTTTTACTAAAGCCTGCTCAGAAACTTTTGAGCATACAATATCATGAAAGCAACATGGCGGAAGGTTGATATTGTCCTCCCGCAACGAGGCAAACGACAGCAAATGTTTTGTAGTCAATACCGTAGTCAAAACGTAATTTTCATAATATTGTACAGTATTTACTGTAATCAAAAAGACTAAGGACGAATGATACACGATAGCCGCTACAGGTACAACCAGCATAGTATACTACCTCCATTATATCCGAGAACATTTCCGGGTACTCCACTGATTACGAACTCAACACAACTGCACATGTACATGTTACATCCAAGATATTAGGGTATGATCCATGACACGTGAAATAATCTTGACTTGGTCACTATACTGATCTTACACACTGACCAGGAACACAAATACACAAAACAGGGTGTGTTGGCCACGCAATATGCATGTCTTTCCGTGTTCACACTTGACTGATTTGAATACACAAGGGACACAACTCTGTTTGATTTGTATATGATTTCAGTTTCAAACTATTTGGAAAGTGTAAAGCGTAATGAAAATGATATAATATGATAATTCCGATCAATGCAAAATGAAATGAATTTCACGATATTTATAGGTTTATGTTCTGAAAATATGTGTGTGTGCGCACGCGTGAGCGCGTGTGTATTTGTTCTCTCTCTCTCTCTCAGCACATACGCATGAAACATTATTTGCTTGTGACACGCACTCATAATCTAACACACTCAGGCGGGCGCGCTCACACACGCACTCCCACTCAATCACAAGCATAAACAGAGTGTGGACTTGGAGGACAACTCCAAATATGAAGAATCTGTCCCCAAAACTGTGTCCTATCCTGATCCCTGTTTAGAATGACTGTCATCATATGTAACTGTTCGTATCAGTGAATACTTGACTTGCCTTCGCATGTGTGTGACGGATGCGATCGGCTGGCTGAGTTATATTTGCCTTCCCACAGCTCCTGGTACCATCCCCATTTGACTGTGGCTCATAAACAAATGCTTAATAATATATGTCCTTCATAAGTGAGAGTGAATGTTTCGGGAATTTATCTTAATGGTTTGAAAATGTTTTCATCACTTTCATTAGACTTAAAGCATCATTAAACTTAAAGGAATTTTGATATATCAACAAGGCGTATTTACCGGTGTTTGTACATGCACATGCATTAGGGGAAGTAGATACAACCAACCGACCAGGTAGTAGAAGTTCATTTTGGACATGCACTTCGTCCACAGTATTGGTATCCTGTTGGAAGCAAAAATCGTGCAGTAAAAAGACGTTAAGACATTAAAAGAATTGCTTCTCAGGCATTGCGTTTGACTGACTCATTTTGGTTTTCTTTATTTCAACACTTGAAACCTTTATTTTCAGAATCGATACCACCCTATGTTGTTTTCAATAATTAGTCATGCTCTTTATTATATATATTACAATTATCTGTTGTGTCTGTGAATTGTCTGGTAAACCAAGGCCAAACGTCGTCTCAACATCAGGCGGTGTACACAAGAATGATCGAAATGCCGGTGTGTTCCAGGAAGTATTGTAAATCTTACTTCAATTGAATTATCTGTTGAGTTGTTTATGAATTTAACGTGTCAAACGTGTGATCTTATTTTCAGTGTAATAATGGCCTGTAATTTTTCTGACAGCCTGATGAATGAGCCGAATCCCCGGTGTGTTAGACCCATGGATGCCGTGCCCAACAACACGAGCAGCCCTCGTGAGGTCAGGGTTGGGGGTGACATTTGTCGTGGGTGTCGTGGAGCAAGGTGCGTGTCGAAACTAACACGTACAAAAGTTTTATATAACTTTTAAAAAGGGACATTGGTGTTTTGGAAGCCTCTCTGGTGTTGAAAAGGGTGTGAATATAGGCCGGTTGAATTGAGGAGGGAATGATAGGGGAATGGGGCACATGTCTTATTAAATATATGATCCACACTTCGTAAGAGAGACCGGGTCCATCAGTGCCAGGTACTTGCACATGACCCTCGTACAGCAAGGTGCATGTCTAGACCAACACATAGTCCCTGAATAAAATGTGTATGTCACTAGTGAATAAGAATAATTCTACAAGGGTAACAAGTAGTAAGGAATTATTAAGTCTCTTCATTTCTGGGGATGACAAGGATGTGAATGTAGGCTGACTTGGCTGATAAGGTGGGGTGAGAGAGGAATGGGTAAAACGTGTGATTACATATATGCTCTTCAGTTCGATCCAGAGACTCGATCCATGAGGTGCCAGGTAGAAGTCGTGCTCGCAATAAGTATAGGATTTCAATATTTGCTCAATGCAAATCATTCTAAGTCTTTGAATCAAAGCTTTGGAGTATCCCGCATTTGGTTAGGATGATTTGTTAACACTCGTAAACAGATACAATCAATAGGTGTTTTTAAGTAATTGACAAAACAGTTTGGACCATTGCGAGCGACAGGTAGTGGAGGAAATTGAACGATGGTAAATGTTATGGTTTTTCTGATTTACAGACAGCAAACGGGGGAGAAACACCCAGTCCAGTGCTCCCAGGAGAGTGTACTGGACGCCCACAGTAGGATGTTCCTTTGAACCCACGACTTGAGAGACTGGACTTCATAGTCCAAGGGTCGTACAACGGAGTTCGCCAAGCTTGCACCCCGCCTTCTCATCACTGTACAGGAGATTGCCTCTTGGTTTCAGACTTTGTGTTCGATAGGCTAAAAGCTGATAATGTTTTGTCTGTGGTGTTGCTTCTGTATCTACTGAATCTTTTATGCGCTTGTGATGCGTTGATTGGGAATATGTTACCTCTAACGTGTAGCGATGTTATCTCGTGACATGGAGATATTTGTCATGTATTCATAGAGGTGCTTGCCACCCTACTAATTGAACATATCTGGTTGCATATTTTCCATATTACCACAGTGACCCTTTATTTTGATACCTATATCTCCATTTTCAACTTTGTACTCCACTATGCCAGGATAGGTATACTTACATATCAATCTTCTGAGGTTCAGGACAGTTTATGACAATAAATGCCATCTGAAGTTTACTGAACATAGTGTGTGGCATGTTGGACTTCCTCAATGATGTTGCCTGTGTAACATTTCAGGATAAAACATTTAGGCAAGAAGCTGACGTTCCCATGGACGTCCGTTGTGCTCCGCTACTTGCGGATCTGTTGTTTTATGCATATGAATCAGAATTTCAACTTTGGTTGGCAAAAACAAGACAAGGTAATAGGGCCAAGACGTTTAACTTTAGCTTCAGGTATATTGTTGATCGAACAGGCACTGCCCTTCTTCTGATTTACACTCCGAAGTCACCTAAGTAGCCAATGGGCTCCATGTGTAGCCGGCTACTGTGTCGACTCAGATCAGATGCAAGTAATGAAAAACGAGAAACACATTTATTTCAACACACTGGGGGTCACAGTTCATGTCTGCATTTCTTTGTAGTTGACTCAGCATAGATATATGAGCTTATGATGAGGGTGGTTATAGTTCTTCAGCAATATTCCAGCGATATCCCATCACTGACTGGAGGCATTGCTGTTATGTATCCTCGGCGATCCATGTGATAGTTGGAAGTGAGGAATTATCAGAAGAAGGTGCTGTAAAATCACCCACGCTCCTTCCCAAGTTACACAAAACCAGATATTTTCCCACTGACTTCTCCAGTGATTGTACATGTTTTGCTAAAATTATCTTACATATCAACAGCTATTACGTGAACATGTGTGTATAGCCTGGCCTTAAAGAAGCAATAAAAATATACAATATGACCACCTCAGCCAGCTCCTTGTCCGACTACAGGAAGCTAAACAGACCAACCGTAGTCCCGCACAAAATGTCAACCACTTGAAAATACCTCTGGTCACATTCAGTATAAGTCGTCATGGAAACACGGCAGCTCTAAATATTAAAAACTGTGGTCGGTTTTAATTACTGGATGAGTGTACTTCAGAAAACACAAAAGTTTTACAAAAAAATCCAATCACAACTGTCAGAATATTCAATCTGCACTGATTGCATGTTAAGCTACGGATCCTGCTTTGGTGTGGTGTAACCTCAAGCCTCTCCTCAGAAAAGAAAATCAGCGCTTTGTATTGTCACATTTTATTACCATACCATGTCACAGTTCTATCATTCGTTATGGTCTGCTACTTAATATATCCAACTGAGATGATATGCATATACGGTTGGCAACAGATCCCGGAATCAAAGTGCATCATTAGACGAAAACAGGTAAACTGCCATTCCAGTCAGTTCCTCTTCCGCAGACAGGTGGTCTGTAGACTATATTCTGTGAAGTCCTGTGGCGTCGCGTCTTTGTCAGCGTCACCACCTTGGGCCTCGGTGAAGTCGTACACGTACTCATCCAGATATACTGTGATATAAACAACGAGCTAGCTGTCTGATAAACTAGTACCACTGAAACAGACGAATCTGGAATTCCCACTGTGATACAAGCTTCCCGATGCAGTACTCACTGAAACACTTATGTTGTGGTTCAATATGCAGAGTCACACATATGCAGTTGAATAACAGTAATAACGATAATGAAGGCAGTGTAAGACATACCGTATTCATAATAAAGAAATGATTTCAGCCAGTATGTGTGCAGCCAAGGGCTGGCTAAAAGGATCGATAATCGAAAATTATTCATGATTATCGATAATATCGTACATGAACTTTTGTGACAGAAACAAGTTTTACTTTTCTCACACGACATACAATTTTAGGGCTTTATTCATGGTCTGAGTCTTAATTATGTTCAGGACGCCGTGTGGTAGGACAGTCGGGGGTGAAGCAGGTGTTTTATACAGTGCCGCTTTGGCAAGACCCACATACATTGAGAAGCTGCAACCTAGGGTTCAAACCCGTGATCACAGGATTCGGGGAAGCTTAAGGAACGCAACTCCACTTAGCGAACTGCAGCGCCTTAGACGAATAGATGCGGTGTTACTAAAGCAACATAATCGTATGAATAGGGATTTACAGTATAATTCCTTAAACCGTTCTTCACTGAAGTGATAGGGAGACCCAGTAATGAAGGACACATATGTCAGTAATCCCATTAGATACATCCTGAACACAGCCCGACCCTGGTTTTCTGAAAGTCACACACATCCCTGACCTGTTCTGTAGACCCTCCTCCTATTGACCTTACCTCACTGGAAGCCCCCTCCCTCGCATCAAGCCCTTCTACCGAACCGACACCGTCTAACCAATCCTAAAACCTCACGTTATGTCTGAACAACTCGTAAATATCATCATAAACAACATACATTCATGAATGTAATGCAAAACTTAAAATTAATGAAAGAGTTAACAGCCGCAGTGATTACTTTGAGAGGCGTTCGTCCATATAAGGAATGTCACATGATCATACTCGTGATCTCTTGCATGGTGTGTGACCCAACCATAGGTCATAGATCATGCAATATCATACGAGACACACTACGAGAACTGATTATGGCATTATGTTCTGACTTCAAACTCTCTGTTCCAATACACTAAATCTCTAGACAATACCTTTCGTGCCACGCTCGTTTTAAGGGTCGTTTTGCTTAAGTGAATGTCCTCACGGATAACGTTTAAACCACGCCCACAGAAGCGGGCTGCTCTTTCATAAAAACCTACAGAATGTAGGGGAATCCCCGTCACAGTGGAGGGAATTACCTCCCTTCTCACCTTTGTCATTATATACAAAGCCCTTCAACGTACATATCCATCGCCCAAACCACCATGTGAATGAAAAGGCAAACATACTCGTTCACCTGTGTCACTCTAATCAGATCCATACAGATTGCACATTAGGTTTAAGATGACCCGAAAAGCTACACAGTGAATTCTTAATAGTCAAAATGTATCTACTTGAATTATAACTTACTTATCAATATATTGCGTTCAGAAATTACCTTTCCGATTCACGTCAGGAATACAACATGGTTACAAAGCTTCATAAACAAGTATTCATAATAAACTGAAGGCCATCAATCAATCCACTGAATTACACATGTTTACATATACGTGTAAAGCATGTAAACATGGACGTAGTTGTAGACAGAAATTCACAAAGGTTTAGTAGTAGAGAAACATTTTGATTGAAATAATAAGGACAGTTTATAGAAATTTGAGCTGGTAACAAAAGAGGATATCAGGTATTTGTATCTCTCATTTCTAAAACATTAAAAGGTCAAGGTTTGTATAGGTTTGACAGTATCTTTGCTTGTGGGGAATATTTTCTGATTTTGATTGATAATTCATGGTTTAGGGTTTTATATTATAATAAATAAAGGTGTCATTGTTTGTGTGCAGTTTAGTATGTAACTATGAAATATTAGAATGTGAATTCAAATGCATTATGTGACGCCTTTTTTCTTTCATTAAAGCAAATAGGCGGATATTCGTAAATTACAGTGGAGCCTTTTATATGGCATGCAGTCGTATTTCAATGAATATATCAAAACGTATATTTTTCTGGTACCTATGGTCATACAAGATTATTTTTGTCTGATATAGATGATAGAAAGCTTGTTGTTGAAAGTTGTTAGATTCCTCTGTATAGCATTTATAAGAGTAGAACGTCTTAAGGTACGTTTATGTCTCAATAAGTTTATGAAAATTTTACGAAGCAAAATAGTACGTACTGTTCAAGCTAAAAAATAAAGTTACATTCAATAAGCAAATGAATTTTTCTTACACGTTTGTATAAGAAATACATAGCTTTATTGAATGGGTAGTTGGTCGTACAGACTCTGAACAAATATATGCAATGCAGCCATTGTAATTCTATAATACAAGTGAGTGAGTGAGTGCAACCAGTGAGTTTTGGTTTTACGCCGCTTTTAGCAATATTCCAGCAATATCAAGGCGGGGGACACCAGAAATGGGCTTAACACATCGTACGCATGTTGGGAATCGAACCCGGGTCTTCGGCGTGACGAACGAACGCCTTAACCACTAGGCTACCCCACCGCCCCTCTATAATACAAGTTGTTAGCAGCCCTTGATGGCTGAAGTTTCTGAAAAAGTAAGAAAGTCTCTTTGGTCAATTTCATTATTTTATAGAGATGATTTAAGATCATTTTCCTGTAAATTAGGTTTAGTTCAGAGACTTAATGTCAGTCTAGTGGAATGACTGACAGAACCTTGTCTAGCAGCGGCATAAATAAGAGCGGTTTCAACTGAAGATCGCTGTATTTATTTTGATTTACAATCTCAACAGGCTCATAACCCACTTTTATTTTTGCAACTGCCATATGTAACGATTTTCACTTTGTCCATTTTAATTGCCGTTTCATTTCAGAATTATTATCCAAGGAATCAAGTGAATTTTATAATTCAATAGGTCTATCTGCTTCGAGCATCCGGTCATGGGAATGTTTATCATTTATTTCTGCACAAGATTTTCTGTCGTTGTACATAGTTTGTAGGTTTGTACTTTAAGGCCGCACTCAGCAATATTCCAGCAAAATGGCGGCGTTGTAAATAGACTTGGCTACATTAAATAAGATTCTATTTACGTTATGGCTTAAAGGTTCTTCAAACAGGACTGAAATCTATGAAAGCACAACGAGTTTATGTGTTCTTGTATGTTGTATATCAGAAAGTCTATAGATATGTCCTTGTATGTTGTATATCAGAAAGTCTTTAGATATGTTCTTGTATGTTGTATAGCAGAAAGTGTATGAAACGTAACTTTGTGATATGTCGCAGAAATCCCTCCCTCCAACCACCCTGGTTATGTTACAGTGAGTGAGTGAATATTGCTTAACGCCACATCAGCAATGTTGCAGCTATTCGCGGCGAGTTATGGTACAGGATCGCCGATGACTCTGGTACTGACGTAACTTGGTTTCCACTACAGATGTAAACAGTTTACTAATACGTCGTTTTTTGTGAGGATTTTGCAGGATGTTTATGCTCGATACCATTAATACATCGTCCTTCGTTGATCTTAATCGCGCTGTTAGCTGGAATATTGCTGAGTGCGGCGTAAAACTAAACTCACTCACGCCCTTCTCGCACTGTAAAGTCTTTTCACCCTCCTTGCAACATTTAATACACATGGTCATTCACTATAAAATCCCGGTACCAGGCATTCCCAGTCATGACCATCCTCAGAATTAGATTTAATTCGATGTAAAGGGCAAAACAGCTGTGAATAGGAATGGACCACTGAAAAACACAGGGATGACACCAGGTGTTCTAAAATGGTTCTGCCCTATCTGTAGCACCCGCCATTCACACGGTATGTCTACAATACAAGGATTAACAGTTCCACGTCCAACAGCAGTAATTCTGCGACAAGTAAACAAACCGACAGTTGAAGGAAAACCAAGTTCTATGGACAGTCAACTTCTTTATTTGGTGAAGGTACTTACACCGGTATCAAGCATGTGATGATAACTAATGACCTATATGGACATGTACTGGACATGTACCACTTACCTGTTATATTACAAAGATGGCTACTGAACCTCCTTCTAACCTGAACGCCAGGTCCTCCAGTACTGATGTCGCCTGGCTAATGACCTATATGGACGTGTACAGGACATGTACAACGTATCTGTTAAATTACAAAGATGGCTACTGAACCTCCTTCTAACCTGAACCCCAGGTCCTCCAGTACTGATGTCGCCTGGCTAATGACCTATATGGACATGTACAGGACATGTACAACGTATCTGTTAAATTACAAAGATGGCTACTGAACCTCCTTCTAACCTGAGCCCCCAGGTCCTCGTGTACTGTGGCTAATGACCTATATAGACATGTACCGATACTACTCACCACGCTGCTATGTTACAGTGCAGGTGAAAGATGGCTACTGGACCTCCTTCTAACCTGACCCCCTAGGTCCTCCTGTACTTAGGTCGCCTGGCTAATGACCTATATGGACATGTACAGATACCACACACCACGCTGCTATGTTACAGTGCAGGTGAAAGATGGCTACTGAACCTCCTTCTAAACCGACCCCCTAGGTCCTCCTGTACTGAGGTCGCCTGGCTAATGACCTATATGGACATGTACAGATACCACTCACCACGCTGCTATGTTACAGTGCAGGTTAATGATGGCTACTGAACCTCCTTCTAACTTGACCCCCCAGGTCCTCCTGTACTGAGGTCGCCTGGCTAATGACCTATATGGACATGTACAGATACCACTCACCACGCTGCTATGTTACAGGACCGCCTCCGTGGTGTAGTGGTTAGAGCGTCCGCCCGGAGTGCGGAAGGTCGCGGGTTCGATCCCCGACCGCGTCATACCAAAAGACGTTAAAATATGGTACTTGTTGGTCCCTGCCTGGCGCTCGGCATTAATGGGTACAACAAGGACTGGTCGGCTCGGAGTCAGTATAATGTGTCTGAGTGGGGTATTCATGCTTCACTGCGGCATGGTATCTCAGTGGGCTAGCACTATAAAACCAGCTTCAGTCTGGGCTAGTACAAGCAGCCGCACCTACACATACCCACGCATGCACATCGTCATATGAGCGAAATATTCTCAAGCACGACGTTAAACCCAATTCCACCACCGCTATGTTACAGTGCAGGTGAAAGATGGCTTCTGAACCTCCTTCTAACCTGACCCCCCAGGTCCTCCTGTACTGATATCACATGGCTAATGACGTATATGGACAGGTACAGATACTACTCACCACGCTGCTATGTTACAGTGCAGGTGAAAGATGGCATCTGAACCTCCTTCTAACCTGACCCCCCAGGTCCTCCTGTACTGAGGTCGCCTGGCTAATGACCTATATGGACATGTACAGATACCATTCACCACGCTGCTATGTTACAGTGCAGGTCAGCATGCAGCGGAGGGAGACTAAAGGTCAAAGGGGACATAAAGGTTGACAAACAAAATGACCCAACTAACATCTGTGTGCATATTGTCACAAAACTTAGTGAGTCTCAATCCTGACAAGAATGCAACTGAAAACTGCCAACATATCTGGAGAAGGGAAATTTTATTAACTAATTCAGCAAATGTATTCAACCTTAGACTGAGCCATCACTTCTGTCAGCTTTTCTCAATGTAAAACTGTTGGTCCTCATCGAGGCTTCATAAGCAAGGGGTTCATAGTTAGCCTTTCTCTCCGATGAAAGCAGTGACGATATTGGAACTGGATACTTCGAAACTTGTCCTGAAAACCCTGAAAGAGATCACACACAACTTACCACTGATGACGAGGGTGCTCTTGTGGTTTAGAAAAAATCAAGGATTATGTAATTTTCCATTTTCAAGAAAATATCATGCACAACTTAAATACAGTGTATACATACACACTGGTGTGCCATTGATTTCATAATCGTGACTAACTGGGACATGTTGATGAACATATATCGTAGAGAGCATGGTCACTGACTAGATTATGCTAAGTGCCTGAATCTGAACATATATAATTTTGATATTAACAAATTAACTCATTTAAATTGAAAAGGAGCAACAGTTAGTTGGGATATTCATGAACCTAGGGAAATCTAGACTTGCTTTAGCACTTCAGGGAGGGCCAGGCGGTTGGGAATGTAAACAATACAACACATCTTATTTTCAAAACCGACATATGAGGTGATATTTCGTGTCAGCTCGCTATTGTCACGAAATCGTAGACTTAAAACATGGATCAAAACGACGTCATTGATTGATAATAGTTAGTATCGTTTATTTTTAGCAAATTTGATGCCGAAAAAATCGCGTCGTGACATGGTAGGTTTAGCGGGTATATTTTTCGATCGCCCAGTGAAATAACTAGGGAAGATCATCAGATCCATATAAATGATGTTAATGACAAGGTTCGTCATCGTATATATTTAACCCATGTAACAACCGGTGTACAACCATGTTTGGCTGTCACAGCTGTTGCCAGTTGTAATAGTTGGCTAATTTGGGGACAATAAGATCGGAAATTTATTATTCCTTCGATGATCATCGGTTCCTACCAACAACCGACAACCGACAACCGACAACCATGAGACAATTCGAAAACGTTTGAGTACTTTTCTTTAAATGTGAGATATAGTTTTGATAACCAGTGCAGTTCTATTGCCGGACAGTGTTTGTCAACATTTATATACTTGGCACAAGAAATAAGGGAACCCCCAAGAGGACACACTCGTTATTAAGTATGTCTGACATGCTTATCGTACAGCTGTGCTGAATAAAGTATACATGCTTCTCAAAGGCAGGGGTTCTGCCATTACTGCCTAGTATAAGTGGGAAGATTCAATGCCCACGTACACTGTGTTGGGTGGTACGTCACATGCTTTCTTTTGAGCTTTTTTTGTCTACTCTACATAGCTCGTCTTTGTTTTTTCTTTCATTTCGTCTTCAAACTTTATCCTCTTTTCCTTCAAAGAAGTCAATCTATCTTCCAATCTATTCAGTTTCCTCTTGCCAAGGATATTCTTCCTTTTCAAGACTTCAATTGTGCCCCTATTCTTCATGATTTCACTCTGTTTAGAATCAATACTTTCATTAAGCTGTTTCATATCAATTTCAAGTTTTTTAACAGTTTCCATTTCCACTTCTTGTTGAAACCTTTTCTACGGAACAGCTACGTCTTTTTCGGCACTGATTGGTACATCGACAATTTCTGTAATTTTGCTTCTTTTGACCACGCTTTCTCCTATCACACTCAAGTGTTCGGTATATTTTCCGAGAGAGGGCTTCAGTGAGGATAACTTCTTTCTTCAACCCAACTAGTCTATAAATCCATTCAGAAAGAACTGTTCTTTTTAAATTGTTACAACTTTGGATTCTACACAATTCTAACACTAAGCCATTCTGTATAACTCCGCTCGAAAGTTTGTTGATATTCCCTTCCAAAATACCTGCAGGCCAGAGTCCAAACTTACGTAAAAATTCATAAGACACGACTCATGACTCACTACAATTGAGTTTCTATAACAGTTTCTATGTCGATAATGTTCTGCATTGAGATCATTAGCTCTCCAGTGATCACGGATTGTGTGTAGACATCTTTGCGTGTAATCACATCCTGTTCTTCTTGCACTCCTGGTCAGAAAGGGGATTGTAGTCCCCTCCACCATGGAAATAGGCCTCTGCTCTCTGTCCACAATGGTAGTATCAGAGTCATCTGCCCTTTGTTCTTGATGCATGCCAACATTTTCAGTTTCAGTTTCACTTGGATTCAAAGGACTGGATGTGTCTAGTTCGACAACAGAATACTCACTATCTGTATTTCTTGGCCAAGATGGGTAGCTGCGTTTCATCAGAATCTACATCTGACGACTCCTGAAGAAGCCATCGGAGATTCTGAAATCAAAGGAAGCAAATATGGCCAAAAAGTATACAGCCTTTTCATGTATTTAAGCAACACATATATTCAACTGATAAGCAAAGAAATAATAAAAATCAACATTCAGACATCCTTCTCATTAAAATCTGATTGGAATTACCTTTAGTTAACTTGCCATATTTCTTTAATTCAAAATGTGCAGATCTATGGCACCAAGCAGCTTTCAACTATCTGCAAAACTGACACATTAAATATTGAGTTTTCAAAACATATTCAAATTACAGTGATTTATCTAACGGCTATTCGTTCAATTATATACTTAAATGGATTATCATTTTCCAAATTGAATGAAACATGATTGTAAATTATTGTCAACAATTTGTGATTGTAAACATGCACAGTCAAAATAATTTCTTACGTCCATTAATGGATTCTTCCTTGCAATAATGCCTTACTCAATAACGGATGAATGTTGTCTATAATATCTCATAGAGTTAAGAAAAGAATTAGTCATTGAACAATAATAGAATTGGCAAAAGCACTTATTTTAACATAATGAATCTAATAATTGTAACATTTATCCATTATGAACGAATGATTAAAACATTCTTAACACATAGTAAAGAAAGAAAATAATCAGTCCTTGAAAAGTTATTGCAGCATTTGCAAACCCACACAAATCAATAGAGAATATATGATTTTATTTTAACAAAACGAATTTAATAATTCATTCATTAAAACATTTATACTATCAATGCTTGAATAACTTTTATATATGTTATACAAAAAGTATATAACAGTAAACTATATTCAGCAACATAACCTCACAATTCATAATCCATAATATCTTGATGAAATAAAAAAGGTGTAAGAATCCTTTACAAATATTTATAATGTAACACATTTCTTTAAAAGTGATGTACAGTAAGATACTATAAAATATATCATCTAACAGTAACTCGCTATTACATCGCCGACGTTCGTTGCGAGTACCTGACAGAGTTACTTGCGCTTTGCTTCAAGACCCCAGTGCTGTTTACAAAAAAAATTCACAACTTGTCCGTTCCTCTAAAATGTTTTAATTGATCGTAAAATGATGCTCAGTCAATGATCTTCAATCAGCAATTGTTCAAAATGCTGCCAAATACCATATAAACATATTTCCGAGAACGTATAACATTTCACATTTGTGCGAAATTAAAATTGTTTCACTCTACAAAAGGGGGAATGAGCAGGAGCGCGTAAAACACAGAACACAGTCCCCTCCCTCGCGCGATATCAGACCAGCTTAAGAACGCTTAGACAAGAGTTACTCCCCTTGGATACAGTAAAAATGAAAATAGGTGTCACTGCTAATACTTATTCCATGGCCAATCACCCAACGGCAAACTTTAATCAATAACAACAAAATGACATACGTTTTGCACACGGTGCACTCGTTCTGTGTCTGCCCGCACACTTCAAACGAATAGGAGAAAGGATTTATAAGAAGAATCTTACTGAGAAAAGCAAAGAGTTACTGTAAGTTACATGTTACATATATATCAACATTGTTTAAGTCAAATATTGTAATTTATTGTTGTTGGATTCATTTTTCATTCTGTTGTAACTGTATCAATAATGTGGATAACAATTGGTAGGAGTTTTCTTCTTATGCATTGAGAAAATTGAAATAGAGAGACTTTGTGGTACTTTTCGTCGTATAACATTTCACATTTGTGCGAAATTAAAATTGTTTCACTCTACAAAAGGGGGAATGAGCAGGAGCGCGTAAAACACAGTCCCCTCCCTCGCGAAATATCAGACCAGCTTAAAAACGCTTAGACAAGAGTTACTCCCCTTGGATACAGTAAAATTGAAAATAGGTGTCACTGCTAATAGTTATTCCATGGCCAATCACCCAACGGCAAACTTTAATCAATAACAACAAAATGACATACGTTTTGCACACGGTGCACTCGTTCTGTGTCTGCCCGCACACTTCAAACGAATAGGAGTAAGAATTTATAAGTAGAATCTTACTGAGAAAAACAGGAGTTACTGTAAGTTACATGTTACATATATATCAACATTGTTTAAGTCAAATATTGTAATTTATTGTTGTTGGATTCATTTTTCATTCTGTTGTAACTGTATCAATAATGTGGATAACAATTGGTAGGAGTTTTCTTCTTATGCATTGAGAAAATTGAAATAGAGAGTCCTTGTGGTACTTTTCATGTCAATATATTTGTGCTTATCTTATAATTGCATTAGCAATGTGGATTTACACATAACAATTCCAACATTTGTACATATATATATTTAGAACTGTTAAGTGGATGATATTTGTGCTGATTACACTGCCCACGAAACCCTCAGTCATCCTGACCAAATTCAGTGCTTATGTTGGAGACCGCCTCCGTGGTGATGTCAAATGCTGTCTTTGATGGCTTGTAAAGAGAGAAAGGACAAGTATTTACACATTCTTGCGGGTTTTTATACTTTGATGCAGTGTTTTGTCATGATGGGAGCTTGCGCAGATATTCATTGATGAATATATATGATGTGTAGGGACAACGCAATTTCACACTGTTGATAAGTATGTATTAGACCTAACTACCTCATATATATAAAACAAATATCCCTTTTTTATATTAAAAGACAAAAGTAAGTTAGAGACTTGTACATGTCTGATTTAACATCAACTGCCCCATTTACTGAGACATGACCGGTACATTTTAAGTTCTGTAAGACTTTTCTCAAAGTCAGCAAGTATACCAACAATAGCATGGTGCTTGGAGAGTGTGGCAGACTCTCACTGCAATACCACTATACCTCCAGATCAATAATGTACTGGTGCAGACTGTTGCAGCTACAACATCATAGTCTTCCTTATCAGGCCTACCAAATTC